TTCTAGAAAAGTGTCATTCATATTGTAACCGACCTAATGATAGTCTTGAAATTAGAATGACAACACTTATCCCTTTCCTTGTCACACATTCTTACCTGACAATTTCATTGTTATTTTAACATTGAACAAATATGAAGTCCCGTTTAATTTCACTTGTTCTGCTTTTTTGGACATCTTCCCAATTTCAGTAAATAAGACGTTTATTTTTGCTTGAAAAAGGTAGGAAAATGTTATTTAGGTTAAATTAACACATACTGCATGGCCTAATTGATAAGGTGTGTGACTTCAACTTGGAAAATTGAGGGTTCGAGTCCATTAGTGGTTGTTTAATTTCACTAGTTTGCCCTAATTGGACATTTTCCCTAATTAAGACATGTCTCTTGTTTCTTGGGAAAGGTAGGACATTGTTATGTAGGTTTAATAATCACTGACCTCGTGTCCTACTGGATAAGGCGTCATTCTGCATCAGGCAATTTAGTGATAGTCTCTTCATACTAACTTAGACGTGTTTCCAAAATCCCTACATAAAGCCTGTCCTTTTTTTTAAAGAAAAGGTTGTACATTGTCATTATAGTTGTAGACCTTGTGACCTAATGGATAAGGTGTCTGACTTTGAATTAGAAGATTGAGCGTTCGAACCTCTTCGTGGTGGTTTAATTTAACTTGTTTGCCTTATTTGGACATGTTCCCAATTTCCCTAAATAAGACATCTCTTGTTGCTTGGAAAAGGTAAGACATTGTTATGTATTTTTTTTAAATTGAAGGCTGTGTGGCCTAATGTATAATGTGTCTGAGTCCAGCTCAGAAGATTGAGGGTTCAAGTCCCTTTGTAGTTGTCTTGGAAATTCACCACTAAAGACTAAACTCAATGTAAATAAATCAATCTTTATTATCACGGCCGGAGACGTTCACAAACTCAATCCAAGCTTGATGAAAACTCTGAAAAGGCCATTCCCTTTCAGTCCTTATAAACTGCTACACAAACAAGTCATGTAAGCATGATTTAAATTATTCTTTATTCATTATTAACGTTGGTTCCTGCATGTGACTGACCCCTGCATGTGACTGACCGATACCTCACAAGGCTTCTTCTCTCAAAGCTGAGACCTTGAAACTGAAATACTCCTCTTGAATCCCAGAACAATGTTCTGGGCGTACTGCCTAATTGCTTATACAGCGATAGTGAGTATTCCTCCCTTGCACAATCAATCAGTCACTTGCATGAACCCAACCGAGTTGGTTATTAGAAAAGCAGTATTTATGCTAAACATACAATCTGTGTACGATCTGATACACACAAACATAAACTTTCCTTCACATGGTCTTTATATATACTTATTTAGACAGGTTTACAAAACCCCTACATAAAAACTGTCCTGTTTTGCAAGGAAAAGGTTGTACAAGGTTGTAGGGCCTCCTGTAGCTCAGTTGGTAGAGCACGGCGCTTGCAATGCCAGGGTTGTAGGTTTGATTCCCACGGGGGGCCAGTATGCAAAATGTATGCACTCACTAAAACTGTAAGTCGCTCTGGTTAAGAGCGTCTGCTAAATGACTACAATGTCATATAGGAGTAGTCGGCATGGATAAGGGCTCTGACTTAGTCCCTTCGTGGTCTTGTAATTTATTCAATTAGACAGGTTCTCCTTTTCCCTACATAAGACATATCTGTTGTTGCATGGAAAAGGTAGTACATATTAATGTAGGTTTAATAATCACAGACTGCGTGGCCTGAGGGATATTACGTCTTATTCTGCATCAGAAGATTGAGGGAAAGAGTCCCTTCGTAGTTGTTAAGTATCACTAGCTTTCTTCATTTAGGTAGGTTCCCAATTTCCCTACGTAAGACGTCTCTTGTTGCTCGGAAAAGGTAGGGCATGGTTATGGAGTTTTATTCATCACAGACTGCATGGTGTAATGGATAAGGCGTCTGACTTCAAATCATAAGATCGAGGGATAATGTCCCTTCGTAGTTGTTAAATATAACTAGCTTTCGTCATTCAGACATGTTCCCAATTTCCCTACATAAGAGATGTCTGTTGTTGCAGTAAAAAGGTAGGACATTGTTGTGTCGTTTGAACATTCAAAGGCTGTTTGGCCTAATGGATAAGGTGTCTGATTCCAGAACAGAAGATTGAGATTTCAAGTCCCTTCCTGGTCTTGATATGTACTTATTTAGACAGGTTTCCAAAACCCCTACATAAGACCTTTCCTTTTTTTGCAAAGAAAAGGTTGTACAATGTCATACATGGTACTTAAGAGTAGACGGCGCAGCGTAATGAATAAGGGGTCTGTCGTTGAATCATATTATTGAGTATTCCAGTCCCTTCGTGGCCGTGTAATTTCACTAGCTCTCCTTATTTAGACAATTTCCCTAAATAAGACATGTTTCTTGTTGCCTGGAAAAGGTAGGAGATCGTTACTACATTTTAATAATCCCAGACTGCGTGGCCTAATGTATAAGACATCTGATTCTGCATCAGACGATTGAGCGATAGAGTCTCTTTGTAGTTGTTAAAAATCACTAGCTTTCCTCATTTAGATAAGTTCCCAATTTCCCTACATAAGACATGTCTCTTGCTGCTGGGAAAAGGTAGGATATTGGTATGTAGGTTTGTTATTCAGTTTGCGTGCCCTAATCGATAAGGCATCTGATTCTGCATCAGAAGATTGAGTGATAATGTCTCTTAGTAGTTGTTAAATATCATTAGTTTTCCATATTTAGACACTTTCCCTACATAAACCATGTATCTTGTTACCAGCAAAAGGAAGTATATTGTTATGTAGGTTGAATAATCAGAGACTGCGTGGCCTAATGTATAAGGTGTCTTATTTCTAAGCATTAGGTAGAGGGTTTGAGTCCCTTCGTTGGCTGTTTAATTTCACTAGCTTTCCTTTCTTAGACAGGATCCCAATTTCCGGACCTAAGACATCTCTTGTTGCTGGGAAAGAAATTTAGAATATTGTTAGGTACGCTCAAAAAACACAGACTACGTGGCCTAATGGATAAGGCATATAATTCACGATCAGAAGATTGATGGTTTGAGTCCCTTTGTGGACCATAGATCTACTGGTGTTACTTAGTTAGAAAAATTCTCTACAAAAGATATAGCATGTATCTGAACAGACCGTGTAGGATAAGGTGTCTGACTTTGAATCAAAAGATTTAGGTTTCGAGTCCCTTTGTGGTTGTTTAATTTAACTAGCTGTCCTCATTTAGTCAATTTCCCTTCTTGTCAGCCATCAAGTTTTCAAGATATGTCACTTTCAAAATACAGAAATACAGAAATTAGCCCCGAATGATTTCTGAAAGTTACATATCTTGAAAACAGTTTGGGACTATGTCAACAATGGACTAATGAAACAAATACCAAAATATAGTTTTGGGGTGGAATTTTCCTTTAACAGACCGCATGGCCTAATTGATAAGATGTCTGATTCTGCATCAGAAGATTGAGGGATTGAGTCCCTTCGTAGTTGTTAAATATCACTAGCTTTACTTATTTAGACAGGTTCCCAATTTCCCTACCTAAGTCATGTCTCTGTTCATGTATTGGCGTCAGAGTACCATAGGGGGTTAAGGTGTGGCTTGACTTGGTGTTATCCTCCTTGAGCAAAGGATGCGTTCCACTCAAACAGCTGAATTTCGACTCCATCTGCTGGCCACAAATATTTGCTTCACTATTTGCCTGGAATCGGATTTTCCCTTTTGTACTGATGGTTCCACTATTCACTACACAGATTGCATGACTGTAGCAAAATATCTGCAGGATAGTCTGAACAGAACCCACAAGAGGTCTTGAGTATTGTATAACTTTTTTCTCTCTCTCACTCTCGCACACACACACACACAGTTATTGGAGGCCCAGGTAATACTGTGCAGCAATATCAGTCAACATCACAAAGCAAGTCCACCTTTTCCACCTCTTTCTTCTGCCACAGTCTGCTCCTTCCTCACCAACGCACCATCAAAAATGCAAAACATGCACAGCATTAAACAAATGGGAACTTGCCTCACAATGAGGGGATGTGAGTGCCACAGGAGCTAAGATTGAGGTAGTGAAATTAGTAATGCTGATACAAAGATCTGGATCAAAGCCACTGGATTATTTTTCAAAAGTTTAAATACTTAGTGTGGAATGAGCTCAGAAACCAAGGTAAAGCATTTTTAGAGAGCATCACAACTTCTGTCAGTAGGCTATATAAGACAATGAAGTTAGTGTAAAATTGGATGGCAATGATTTTATTATGTTAAGAAATCAACACATTTAAGAAATTCACAGTTATTTTATATACACTGGTCTATTGCACATATAAAAAAAAAAAAACAGGCTTGACACACCCAGCTCACATGGGTTATAGACTATACATTTCAGATACCCATTAAATTAAGATTTAAAAATATAAACCATTGTTTATCATTACAATACATCTTATAACATGTTTTATATTTGGATCTGAACCATCCAATGCTTTTTTGTTAATAGGAACCATCTTCTCCAAAAAAACATTTAGAAGAACTGATGAAATTCCTCTTTCCAACTTTACCATATGTTTGTTCCATTGGAAACAAAGCACAGGCAATGATTTTGAAGTACCCTCCCCTCAGAAAAAGTTAATGAACCTCAAAAGAAGGATAATAAATGATGACTTCAATTTGTTCTGATAACACCATACAAAGCATGTATAGCATATAATCCACGTTGGATATTTTCAGGGTTATAATTTTAAGCAGCCAAATAAGACTTCACTTACTACTTTGTTCAAAATATACATAAACAGTGCAAAACTTTCAGTCAAAACCCATAGTGGCATGCACTACAGTAAACATCTATGCTTAAATTAACACGGCTTAGCGGTAAATGTGCCTATGACAAATGCACAGTAGTCAAGGAAATATCCTGTGTTTCCAGTTATCCAGTGTTTTGTTCGTTGAGGATTTACTGTCTGACCTCCAGCTTTTAAAGTGTTGTGTTAGAACATATGGGTGTTGGAGTTAGTGCTCTTCTTTGTCTCGTCCCATCTTCTCCTTCTTCTCCTTCTCGTCCTGCAGGGCCGTGCCCAGTTTCTTGATGAGGACAGAGAGGACCTTGTCCAGGGGGTCCATCACCCCCCTCTGGAGCCATTTGGGAATTGTAGTCCTTGCGTGGTGGAAGCCTAGCTTCTGCAGAATGTAGTCCACGCCGACAGGATCGATCTTCCGTCCCGTCCAGGAGATGAGCCTATGGAAAGTGATAATTAAGACTGAGTCAAGAAACCTCAGATGTATGGACAAACCGGTTTACGTTTAGGGTATAGGCCTAAAAGTGAGCTTATGGAGTAGTTGAAATGCGCAGGTGAGGGGTTAAGGAGTCACAAAACACAGGGATCGCATACACATACTACAAATATACTGTATTGTTAGTTTGGATAAAAGTGTCTGCACAGTGGCATATATTATTCTTATAAGGGTCTGAGGGCTTGGGACTGGTTTACCTGAGCGTGGGCTCCAGGTGCCAGGTGTTGCACATGAATTCTCTCCAGTCTACTGTGGTGTAGTTGATGCCTTCCTCCTTGTCCTTGTCTGTGGAGTTCTCATCATGCAGGGCCGTCGGGCTCTTCTGGCCTGGCCGAGTGGCAAAGATCCGGGGGTTGAAAAGGGCTGCAGACCGGGGGGGGGGGGGGGGGGGGAGAGAGAGAGAGAGAGAGAGAGAGAGAGAGAGAGAGAGAGAGAGAGAGAGAGAGAGAGAGAGTTTGTGTAAAACTATAAAGAGTGCCTTGGTTCTCCTTGTTCTTCTATGACTATTAGTTCCTAAAACAAAGAACACCTTTAATTCAGCTTTAATTATATTTTAGTTGTACATACATTGCTATTTTTTTCTATATAAAGTTATCAGTGAAAGTACATATCTACACTGAACAAACATTTTAACGCAACATGTAAAGTGTTGGTCCCATGTTTCATGAGCTGAAATAAAAGATCCCAGAAATGTTCCATATGCACAAAAATATTATTTATCTCAAATTTTGTGCACAAATTAGTTTACATCCCTGTTAGTGAGAATTTCTTCTTTGCCAAGATAATCCATCCACCTGCCAGAGAATTGAATGTTAATTTTTCTACCTTGTTTTAGAGAATTTGTCAGTACATCCAACCGGCATCACAACCGCAGACCACGTGTATGGCGTCGTGTGGCCGAGCAGTTTGCTGACGTCAACGTTGTGAACAGAGTGTCCCATGGTGGCGGTGGGGTTATGGTATGGGCATGTATAAGCTACGGACAACGAATACAATTGCATTTTATATATGGCAATTTGAAAACACAGAGATACTGTGATGAGATCCTGAGGCCCATTGTCGTGCCATTCATCCGCTTCCATCACCTCATGTTTCAGCATGATAATGCACGGCCCCATGTTGCAAGGATCTGTACACAATTCCTGGAATTGTGAAAATGTCCCAGTCCTTCCATGGCCTATATACTCACCAGACATGTCACCCATTGAGCATGTTTGGGATCCTCTGGATCGACGTGTACGACAGCGTTCCAGTTCCCGCCAACATCCAGCAACTTCACACAGCCATTGAAGAGGAGTGGGACAACATTCCACAGGCCACAGTCAACAGCCTGATCAACTCTATGCGAAGGAGATGTGTCGTGCTGCATGAGGCTAATGGTGGTCACACCAGATACTGACTAGTTTTCTGATCCACGCCCCTACTTTTATTTTAAGGTATCTTTGACCAACAGATGCATATCTGTATTCCCAGTCATATGAAATCCATAGATTAGGGCCTAATTAATGTATTTCAATTGACTGATTTCCTTATATAAACTGTAACTCAGTAAAATCTTTGAAATTCTTGCATGTTGCGTTTATATTTTAGTTCAGTATTTATAAAGTTATCATGTAAAGTACAGTTAATTGTTCTGGTTTGCTACACATAATGTGCTGCTGCTGTTTACATTTCAGGTGCTCTCACCCTTCTCTTTTTCCTTCAGGTAGGCAGAGACCAGGTCGTGCAGAAACATGATGAGCTCGGCGTCCATGGTGACACATATGTGGTCGGTGAACTCAGTCACCACGCTGCACTCCACCTTGGGCTTACTGTTGGAGTCTGAAACAGAGGGGAAACAATAGTGTCATTCCAACAAAGATATATTAAATGGGAGCAAACTGAAAATGACAAAAATATTGAACAAATCTTGGAGGACAATGGAAGTGGACTTCAACAACAACGTTGCCCCTAAATATATACAGTGGGGGAAAAAAGTATTTAGTCAGCCACCAATTGTGCAAGTTCTCCCACTTAAAAAGATGAGAGAGGCCTGTAATTTTCATCATAGGTACACGTCAACTATGACAGACAAATTGAGGAAAAAAAATCCAGAAAATCACATTGTAGGATTTTTAATGAATTTATTTGCAAATTATGGTGGAAAATAAGTATTTGGTTACCTACAAACAAGCAAGGTTTCTGGCTCTCACAGACCTGTAACTTCTTCTTTAAGAGGCTCCTCTGTCCTCCACTCGTTACCTGTATTAATGGGACCTGTTTGAACTTGTTATCAGTATAAAAGACACCTGTCCACAACCTCAAACAGTCACACTCCAAACTCCACTATGGCCAAGACCAAAGAGCTGTCAAAGGACACCAGAAACAAAATTGTAGACCTGCACCAGGCTGGGAAGACTGAATCTGCAATAGGTAAGCATCTTGGTTTGAAGAAATCAACTGTGGGAGCAATTATTAGGAAATGGAAACAATGGAAGACATACAAGACCACTGATAATCTCCCTCGATCTGGGGCTCCACGCAAGATCTCACCCCGTGGGGTCAAAATGATCACAAGAACGGTGAGCAAAAAATCCCAGAACCACATGGGGGGACCTAGTGAATGACCTGCAGAGAGCTGGGACCAAAGTAACAAAGCCTACCATCAGTAACACACTACGCCGCCAGGGATTCAAATCCTGCAGTGCCAGATGTGTCCCCCTGCTTAAGCCAGTACATGTCCAGGCCCGTCTGAAGTTTGCTAGAGTGCATTTGGATGATCCAGAAGAGGATTGGGATAATGTCATATGGTCAGATGAAACCAAAATAGAACTTTTTGGTAAAAAACTCAACTCGTCGTGTTTGGAGGACAAAGAATGCTGAGTTGCATCCAAAGAACACCATACCTACTGTGAAGCATGGGGGTGGAAACATCATGCTTTGGGGCTGTTTTTCTGCAAAGGGACCAGGACGACTGATCCGTTTAAAGGAAAGAATGAATGGGGCCAAGTATCGTGAGATTTTGAGTGAAAACCTCCTTCCATCAGCAAGGGCATTGAAGATGAAACGTGGCTGGGTCTTTCAGCATGACAATGATCCCAAACACACCGCCCGGGCAACGAAGGAGTGGCTTCGTAAGAAGCATTTCAAGGTCCTGGAGTGGCCTAGCCAGTCTCCAGATCTCAACCCCATAGAAAATCTTTGGAGGGAGTTGAAAGTCTGTGTTGCCCAGCGACAGCCCCAAAACATCACTGCTCTAGAGGAGATCTGCATGGAGGAATGGGCCAAAATACCAGCAACAGTGTGTGAAAACCTTGTGAAGACTTACAGAAAATGTTTGACCTGTGTCATTGCCAACAAAGGGTATATAACAAAGTATTGAGAAACTTTTGTTATTGACCAAATACTTATTTTCCACCATAAATTCATTAAAAATCCTCATTTTGTCTGTCATAGTTGACGTGTACCTATGATGAAAATTACAGGCCTCTCTCATCTTTTTAAGTGGGAGAACTTGCACAATTGGTGGCTGACTAAATACTTTTTTTCCCCACTGTACCATTACTAATTGTGGTCTGTTCATACTGGTGGACCGAATACCAACTGAGCCTACCAGTCAAGGAGGGTTCGTCTGGATCCTGAACGTGGATGGACTTGAAGTCCAGCTGCATCCTGGGTAGGGCAAAGATGGTCTCTGTCTCATGGTTGTAGCTGGACGAGCCGCGGAAGCTGCTTAGCAGGCTGGAACTCTTGGCGGCAGCCCCACTCTCTGGGTTGTTGGCGTCCACGTTCCGCAAGAGGTTCAGCTCTGGGGAACAGGATACATTAGAATGAGGCAGGCGTCTTGAATATATTGGGTCAAGGGAAACAGTAGACCTTGTATATGACATTGGTAAAATTTAGTAGCCTTTACCCTCATTCCTCATGGCAGTCACATAGTTGAACCACTCTTTGACCGTGGCTACTCCGTGTGGGGGGTTTTCGTGCCGGCGACGGGTGATTTTGGTGATGGTGGCCATGGGGCTCTCTAGTGCTCCGCAGGGTTTGGTTACCATGGTGTTGTGACCCAGATGAAAATCCAACGTCTGCACGATATAGGTGGAGTCATCAGTGGAGCCTGATTGGATAAAAAAAATAGGTTGAGCTTAGAGGTATTTTGGGGACTTGCTTTTGCCCACCCCCCACCCCCCTCTCTGTCCCTTGAAAGCCTTACCATCCTCCAATATCTTCTGAGCCTCAGTCCAAAAGGCTATATTGGGCTCCTCCAGGTGGAATAAGGCCCAGGACTTGGAGCGGAAGTTGGGCCCGTGGAAGCAGGCCAGGGTCATGTGGTTGCCATGGAGACTCATGGAGCCACCCAGTTGCACGGCGTCCTCTGGGAGTGGCATCTGGAAGAGGGAGATGTGGCATCCGGCGATCACCTTCAGAACCCCAGGCCAGTGACGATGGTGGGCTGCATCCATGTCTGGGAAAGAGAGCAATGACGAGAGTGAGAAGGAGCAATGACGATAGAAGGAGAGGGATGAAAAAGAGACAGAGGAAAGGGGAGGAGCAGGGGAAAGAGCATTCCGATCGAAACCAGTCCATTTTACTTGAACCCAGGAACTCCGTAATAATGGATACTTACAAAGCTCTGCAGCGCCTTTCTCGATGTTGATGACCGGCGCCTTCGGGGGCAGGTAGGGGACTGGACCCCATGTGGACAACGCTCGTTTGCTGGTGTCAAATTGCTGGGTGAAAAATTCCTGCAGCTTCATCCCGATCTTAATGAGGTCGGGGGTAGTGGAGCGCGAGATGATCACCTGGAAGATATCCCACTGCAAGTCCCCGTGGACAAAGATCTCACTGGAGTGAGGGAAGGATAGGTAAAAGGAGAGGTGAAAGAGAGGAGGAAGGGAGAGAGATGAGAAAGAGAAGAGGAGGGAGAGAGTGAGTGAGAAAGAGAAGAGCAGAAATGGTCAGAAAATAAGAACAGACAAGAATGTAGCCACAGGGGTTTTGGCTATAAATTTTCTCTAGTAGGCTAGGCTAGTTTATTTACCTTTTCTCTGATAGGCTGGTCTCCACAGTGCACAGGTTAACCTTCCACTCATCCTGGAGCTGCAGGTCGGCGTTGCTGAAGATGCCCATGAGGATGCTTGAGCCCATGTAGTCCACACGGGCCTCCGTGGAGCCCATGGTGATCTGGATCTTATGGCTGGGCTGCTGGTTGGGGTGCTCCGAGATGTGTGCTTCAACAAACAAATATGTGTTGTTAGGTGCGGCAGAGAGATCTCAAGTTCTACTCGTTTGACAGGGATGTTTAACTTAGAGTTCTGTTCATCATTTAAATGCCAAGACCCGAGGCTAGAGCACAATCTATTTGGAATTGCACAAAAAGTAAACAGTACAGGCCAGTGGCTTAATACCTTATTCCCCGTCCCTGTACTTACAGACCATCTCCAGGGTGTTGACATCTATGTTGCCCCCCACCACGCCACCTTTAGAGTCCAGTTTGGAGCGACCCAGGCCCACGGACATGCTGATCTCTCGGTCTCGGTTACTACCCACTGACAAACGACCCTGACTCTTCAGCCCACTGGTGGTCCAACTAGAGGTAAACAAGAGCAAAGGGAAACAGTTCCACCCACCTCCTCATGAATAATTAACATCTGCTTTCTAGGAGGCATCGTTTGTGTCAACAGCAATATTTCAATGTTTGGAATATTGCTTTTGTTAAGGGTTATATGTACAGTCGTGGTCAAAAGTTTTGATAATGACACAAATACTAATTTTCAGTTTTGATGATGGCAATTTGCATATACTCCAGAATGTCATGAAGAGTGATCAGATGAATTGCAATTCATTGCAAAGTCCCTCCTTGCCATGAAAATGAACTTAATCCCAAAAAAACATTTCCACCGGATTTCAGCCCTGCCACAAAAGGACCAGCTAACATCATGTCAGTGATTCTCTCGTTAACACAGGTGAGAGTGTTGACGAGGACAAGGCTGGAGATCACTCTGTCATGCTGATTGAGTTAGAATAACAGACTGGAAGCTTTAAAAGGAAGGTGGTGCTTGAAATCATTGTTCTTCCTCTGTTAACCATGGTTACCTGCAAGGAAACACGTGCCGTCATCATTGCTTTGTATAAAAAGGGCTTCACAGGCAAGGACATTGCTGCTAGTAAGATTGCACCTAAATCAACCACTTATCAGATCATCAAGAACTTCAAGGAGAGAGGTTCAATTGTTATGAAGAAGGCGTCAGGGCGCCCAAGAAAGTCCAGCAAGCGCCAGGACCGTCTCCTAAAGTTGATTCAGCTGCGGGACACCACCAGTGCAGAGCTTGCTCAGGAATGGCAGCAGGCAGGTGTGAGTGCATCTGCACACACAGTGAGGCGAAGACTTTTGGAGGATGGCCTGGTGTCAAGAAGGGCAGCAAAGAAGCCACTTATCTCCAGGAAAAACATCAGGGACAGACTGATATTCTGCAAAAGGTACAGGGACTGGAGTGCTGAGGACTGGGGTAAAGTCATTTTCTCAAATTAATCCCCTTTCCGATTGTTTGGGGCATCCGGAAAACACCTTGTCCGGAGAAGACAAGGTGAGCTCTACCATCAGTCCTGTGTCATGCCAACAGTAAAGCATCCCGAGACCATTCATGTGTGGGGTTTCTTCTCAGCCAAGGGAGTGCGCTCACTCACATTTTTGCCTAAGAACACAGCCATGAATAAAGAATAGTACCAACACATCCTCCGAGAGCAACTTCTCCCAACCATCCAAGAACAGTTTGGTGATGACAAATGTATTTTCGAGCATGATGGAGCACCTTGCCATAAGGCAAAAGTGATAACTAAGTGGCTCGGGGAACAAAACATCGACATTTTGGGTCCATGGCCAGGAAACTCCCCAGACCTTAATCCCATTGAGAACTTGTGTTCGATCCTCAAGAGACGGGTGGACAAACAAAAACCCACAAATTCTGACAAACTCCAAGCATTGATTATGCAAGAATGGGCTGCCATCAGTCAGGATGTGGCCCAGACGTTAATTGACAGCATGCCAGGGCGGATTACAGAGGTCTTGAAAAAGAAGGGTCAACACTGCAAATATTGACTCTGCATAAACTTAATGTAATGTCAATAAAAGCCTAAGACACTTATGGAATGCTTGTAATTATACTTCAGCATACCATAGTAACATCTGACAAAAATATCTCATAACACTGAAGCAGCGAACTTTGTGAAGACCAATACTTGTATCATTCTCAAAACTTTTGACCACGACTGTAGAATTGTTCCGTTTTTTAATAGGTTTTCAGATACAGGGGTTAAAGCAAAAATAAATCCCATTAAAGTCGATCTCAGATCGATTGTCTGGGGCCAAGTTAACCTCCCCTTTCATGTAACAAAGTCATGGCCATCGTGACTTAAACTAGTTAAATGTAACTATGTGTAAATCAAAAATGTAATCCCCCAAAGTAATTATTTATCATGAGGGGGCCATAAACAATAATTAGTAATGCTGCACACTCCAAGAAAGGTTAAAATCTCACCTTTCTGGTAAAAATAGTTATAAAGCGCATTCGGAAAGTATTAAGACCCCTTGACTTTTTCCACATTTTGTTACGTTACAGCTTTATTCTAAAATGGATTAAATAAAATCTTAGCAATCTACTAATTTATTAGAAATAAAAAACAGAAAAACCTATTCAGACCCTTTGCTATGAGACTCGAAATTGCGCTCAGGTGCATCCTGTTTCCATTGATCATCCTTGAGATGTTTCTACAACTTGTTTGGAGTCCACCTGTGGTAAGTTCAAATTATTGTAAATTATTTGGAAAGGCACACACCTGTCTATATAAGGTCCCACAGTTGAAAGTGCATGTCAGAGCAAAAACCAAGCCATGAGGTCAAAGGAATTGTCCGTAGAACTCCGAGACAGGGTTGTGTTGAGGCACAGATCTGGGGTAAGGGTACCAAAAAATGTCTGCAGCATTGAAGGTCCCCAAGAACACAGTGGCCTCCATCATTCTTAAATGAAAGAAGTTTGGAACCACCAAGACTCTTCCTAGAGCTGGCTGTCCGGCCAAACTGAGCAATCGGGGGAGGTGACCAAGAACCCGATGGTCATTCTGACAGAGCTTCAGAGTTCCTCTGTGGAGACGGGATAACCTTCCAGAAGGACAACCATCTCTGCAGCACTCCACCAATCAGGCCTTTATGGTAGAGTGGCCAGACGGAAGCCACTCCTCAGTAAAAGGCACATGACAGCCCGCTTGGAGTTTGCCAAAAGGCACCTAAAGACTCTCAGACCATAAGAAACAAGATTCTCTGGTCTGATGAAACCAAGATTGAACTCTTCGGCCTGAATGCCAAGCGTCACGTCTGGAGGAAACCTGGCACCATCCCTACGGCGAAGCATGGTGGTGGCAGCATCATGCTGTGGGAATGTTTTTCAGCGGCAGGGACAGGGAGACAAGTCAGGATCGAGGGAAAGCGTAAAGGAGCAAAGTACAGAGAGATCCTTGATGAAAACATGCTCCAGAGTGCTCAGGACCTCAGACTGGAGCATAAATTCACCTTCCAACAGGACAACGACCCTAAGCACACAGCCAAGACAACGCAGGAGTGGCTTTGGGACAAGTCTCTGAATGTCCTTGAGTGGCCCAGCCAGAGCCCGGACTTGAACCAAATCGAACATGTCTGGAAAGACCTGAAAATAGCTGTGCAGCAACGCTCCCCATCCAACCTGACAGAGCTTGAGAGGATCTGCAGAGAAGAATGGGAGAAACTCCCCAAATACAGGTGTGCCAAGCTAGTAGCGTTATACCCAAGAAGGCTCGAGGCTGTAATCGCTGACAAAGGTGATTCAACAAAGTACTGAGTAAAGGGTCTGAATACTTATGTAAATGTAATATTTCAGTTTTTATTTTATAATACATTAGCAAACATTTCTGAAAACCTGTTTTTGCTTTGTCATTATGGGGTATTGTGTGTAGATTGATGAGGGGAAAAAACAATTTAATGCATTTTAGAATAAGGCTGTAACATAACAAAATGTGGAAAAAGTCAAGGGGTCTGAATACTTTCCGAATGTACTGTAAATTGCTGAGATGTAGTCACTTGAGGACACAAGCTCAAGTACACAGTACAAATATGATAAAAATATGAAATATTTTATATGTATTTACAATTCAACAAAACTGTATTGTATGAATAAGGTTTGAAATGACTTATATACTTTCTAAATATAGTATAATCAAATTATAAAACTATAATATTTCACCTTCCTTATAACTGTAAAATACATATTTGTATTTTTAGTGTTAGAGAAAATGTGCATATTTTCTAAAGGTCTCTCTTGATCAAAACGTCTGACCCCATTGTCATCTCATATTGAAAAAATGTATGCACACACTAAGTTGCTCTGGATAAGAGCGTCTGCTAAATGACTAAAATGTCATATTAATCTTGTCTGTCAATGACAAACAAAGTGCTTTTTGTTTAAAATCTATGAATTATTTTAGATTAACGCCTATAAATCAATCTCTGAATGTGCTACCACTTGCTCCTGCTGCGGTAGGATGTAAAGATTGCAGGCATGTGCTTTGTCAGTGGCTGTGACATAGGGTTCAGCCAGGAGTTGATGGACAGTCAGAAGAGCGAATGAAATGGTAGGAGTTACCTCCCAGCTTCAAGTGGTTTCAGATTTCACATCCTACGTCCATGGGAACATGGGCTATCGCTCAATGCAAGCCATTTTGATCGACGGTGTCCACAGATTTATAAGTGAAAATGTCGGTCGGAACCGGTACCAGAACCACGCAGGTCCTCTAAACAGGGGACTTTACATCTAAGAGGTTTTAAAGGAAAGATGATCATTTTGTACATGTATAAACTGACCAATTCCAGTTCCCTTGCTTAGGGATTCAGGGGTCCTCCCCTGGATAATATTTATTTAAAAGGACTGAGAAGCTCAGTTCTGGTGACTTTTTAAAAGGATATTCTACTCCAAAATTAATTAAATTAAACTGATGCTGACAACAACAAAAAAAAGTATTTACACCTCCAGAAACAGGCCCAATAACATATTGGTAAAAATTATGTTACAATTATCTTAACATATTGGACCATGCATATAGCTTATGCATGGTCTATACAGTGGCTTGCGAAAGTATTCACCCCCCTTGGCATTTTTCGTATTTTATTGCCTTTCAACCTGGAATTAAAATAGATTTTTTGGGGATTTGTATCATTTGATTTACGCAACATGCCTACCACTTTGAAGATCCTAAATATTTTTCATTGTGAAACAAACAAGAAATAAGACAAAAAAACTGAAAACTTGAGCGTGCATAACTATTCACCCCCCCCAAAGTCAATACTTTGTAGAGCCACCTTTTGCAGCAACTACAGCTGCAAGTCTCTTGGGGTACGTCTCTATAAGCTTGGCACGTCTAGCCACTGGGATTTTTGCCCATTCTTCAAGGCAAAACTGCTCCAGCTCCTTCAAGTTGGATGGGTTCCGCTGGTGTACAGCAATCTTTAAGTCATACCACAGATTCTCAATTGGATTGAGGTCTTGGCTTTTACTAGGCCATTCCAAGACATTTAAATGTTTCCCTTTAAACCACTCGAGTGTTGCTTTAGCAGTATGCTTAGGGTCATTGTCCTGCTGGAAGGTGAACATCCGTCCCAGTCTCAAATCTCTGGAAGACTGAAACAGGTTTCCCTCAAGAATTTCCCTGTATTTAGCGCCATCCATCATTCCTTCAATTCTGACCAGTTTCCCAGTCCCTGCCGATGAAAAACATCCCCACAGCATGATGCTGCCACCACCACGCTTCACTGTGGGGATGGTGTTCTCAGGGTGATAGAAAGTGTTGTGTTTGCGCCAGACATAGCGTTTTCCTTGATGGCCAAAAAGCTCAATTTTAGTCTCATCTGACCAGAGTACCTTCTTCCATATGTTTGGGGAGTCTCCCACTTGCCTTTTTGGCGAACACCAAACGTGTTCGCTTATTTTTTTCTTTAAGCAATGGCTTTTTTCAGGCCACTCTACCGTAAAGCCCAGCTCTGTGGAGTGTACGGCTTAAAGTGGTCCTATGGACAGATACTCCAATCTCCGCTGTGGAGCTTTGCAGCTCCTTCAGGGTTAATTACATTTTAGTCATTTAGCAGACGCTCTTATCCAGAGCGACTTACAGTTAGTGAGTGCATACATTTGGTCCATACATACTGGTCCCCCGTGGGAAATGAACCCACAACCCAGGCGTTGCAAACGCCATGCTCTACCAACTGAGCTACATGGGACTATAAAAGTTTTAGTGATCCAATTGACATTTTAGTCATTTAGCAGACGCTCTTATCCAGAGCGACTTACTATTAGTGAGTGCATACATTTTTCATACTGGCCCCCTTTGGTCTCTTTGTTGCCTCTCTGATTAATGCCCTCCTTGCCTGGTCCATGAGTTTTGGTGGGCGGCCATCTCTTGGCCGGTTTTTTGTGGTGCAATATTCTTTCCATTTTTTAAATAATGGATTTAATGCTGCTCCGTAGGATGTTCAAAGTTTCTGATATTATTTTATAACCCAACCCTGATCTGTACTTCTCCACAACTTTGTCCCTGACCTGTTTGGAGAGCTCCTTGGTCTTCATGGTGCCGCTTGCTTGGTGGTGTCCCTTGCTTAGTGGTGCTGCAGACTCTGGGGCCTTTCAGAACAGGTGTATATATATACACTGAGATCATGTGACACTTAGATTGCACACAAGTGGATTTTATTTAACTAATTATGTGACTTTTGAAGGTAATTGGTTGCACCAGATCTTATTTAGGGACTTCATAGTAAAGGGGGTGAATACATATGCACGCACCACTTTTCCATTATTTATTCTTTAGAATTTTTTTAAACAAGTTATTTTTTAAATTTCACTGCCCTTTTAAGACGACATTGCCCCTTTTAAGAGCTCTGTTGCGTAGCTGTGCCTAAACCATGCTTGAAACTCTGATTGTAAAACTGCATTTGTAAAATGATTACACACGCAAAATTTAGAGTAGAGAAATAATAGCAATGTAAAACTGGGATCCCCTTTTTTTTTAGCACATGCCAAAACTGCTTTCAAAAGTGTTTTCCTGTGATTGCACTAAGAATTGTTGTGCATTGATTGCTCTCGCAACTTGAATGCGCCTCGTGAGGAATATTTATCTCACATAGAACATACAACAAGCAGACTAGGTAAACAGGTAAACTATTCTACTATGGGGTTGTCTGATTTTGTTTGAATAACATTACATGGCAAAAATAGTCGAACGGGAAAGTTACATCCTGAGTGATAAAGTATAGGCTTTGAATTACTTTGCCAGCAGTTACAGTAGAATAAACACCGGTGTCTGAGTTGAGGGCTGCTGTGGTGTGCATTATAGATGATTTAATTCCCTTCATCTGAACATCGGAGTGATATCAACAATCATGCACATCAGTTCAGTGCACACAGCGTAACAGAGAAAATAAAATATTTGAAAAAAACATTTATTTGGGAATATTGCCTCTCCAGAATCCATATGATGGAAATCCATTGCAGTGACAGAGAACTTTTACCCTTGCAGATATACACATTAAGTAATGTGCTGGTATGTATTAGAAGGAATAGACTAAATATGTGTACTGGAAACTGGCCCCAAGAGTGTAGAGCAAGGCTCTCCAACCCTGTTCCTGGAGAGCTACTGTCCTGTAGGTTTTCACTCCAACCCTAATCTAGGCACACCTGATTGTTAGAATTAGCTAGCTAATAAGCTGAATCAGGTTAGTTACAACTGGGGTTGGAGCGAAAACCTACAGGACGGTAGCTCCCCAGGAACAGGGTTGGAGAGCCCTGGAGTAGAGTATAGTGTGTTTACTGGGAGGAGAAAAAGGGAGACCTACGTGTTGTTGCCCATGACGTTGCTCATGTTCATCTGGACGTTGAGCTGTTTCAGGTTGATGGCGAACACCACTAGTGTCTCCCACGGGGTCCCTAGGGGGCCGGCTGCCTTACCGTTTTTATTGAACGACGGCGTGGACATCTTGGTCACAGAATCTGTATGGAAGGGAAATGTATGATGTAACGGCATGCTACCCATAGCTATTTGTCTAAATTAGAGAGAGTTATTCCTAATCTAAAAGTGTCAAAGAGTATAAACTAGCTCAAGTCTTAATGAGGGATATAGTATTCATTCATCATTCCTACTGCATTTTAATTGAAGGTTGTGAAAATAATCTCCACACTATGCTAAAATAACCAGCATTAACACCGCTTTAATCAGATAGTGTCATTCCTCGATGCTGTTGAGCACTAATTTTTGAGCTGGTACCTCTTCTAGGGGCGGAGGAATCAGAGACGCTTCTGGTGCGTCCGGGGGCCGGGGACTTGAGGTGGGAGGACAGGCCCCCGGGGGACATGTTGCTCCCAGTGGAGTGGTCAGAGAACACGTTGGGGGACTGGGGCATGTACTGCCCAGTGCTACCATCCCAGGTCCTCCAGTAGGCTTTACGGCTGGATTCTGGTGACAGGTGCTGGGTCATGTTCTCTACAGAGTCCGGGGTGGCAGGACCTGAGGCTGGAGGAGAGAAGCAGGTCGAGGGTAAAGGGCATATTTTCAAATGTAAACACAGGTTTGGGAAATGCATACTGTTTTAAAGGGACCGACATTAGCAGAGTTGGAGATTGAAAGGGAACAGAGTAAAAATGTTGATCAATTATTGCATGAGGAAAATGGAGCCATAAGTGTGCAAAGGCCTATCAAGGAGGTGTGTGTTTACCTGTTGGCATGTTGATGGTCTGGTCTCCCAGAAAGAGGCGTCTGGCGATGCTACGGCGGTACCAGGCTCTGGGGAAGGCCAGGATCTCACTTAGCCTCCGCATGTCATACTTGAAGGAGGCCGAGCCAATGTCACACACAGCTGAGAAGAGAGAGAGAGAAAACACTCAAAGTTAGCCAGGAATCCAAGTTTCTGTGGATTTAACTGTCTTGGCATGGAAAAATGGATCAGCTTCAGTAATAAGACATACAGCCACATCCAAAATAATACAAATACTAAACTATATTGTATGTAGGGCTGTGATGATTATGGAATTTTGGGTAAGGATTAATTATCATGCATAAGGCCATGGTTATTGTCATAATTGTCATTTTTGTTAAAATGTTTTGAGCTTGTAATGCATCTTTGAAAAAATGCTACGACATATCTAATGAATACAACACAGCTTTGGTTACACCCGTCTCAAAAATGTATGGTTTTAACTGCTTGGAACTTTTGGAAATGAAGCTTCTCATGCCGACCCTGCCATTCTGTTCGTAAAATGTTTACCAAGTTGACCAACTTCATATTAAAATGAAAAACTGCTATTGGGTAAACTATATATATTTACATATAAAGTTGAATCCCCCTTCTCCTAAAATTAATGTATAAAGACAATCTTTATTTTGGTTTGTTCACGGTTACTGTCCATAATTGTCAGTTACACGATTATACGATAATTGTGCCAGCCCTAATTGTATGCAAGAAAATTGGGAAATTATATTTATGCTAGGGCTGTCAGAGTTAATCAGTTAACTTAAGTTAATTGTCATATTAGTTGTCATATTTTTTTTCAAAGAATCGCATAGTCTGAAAGTGTTCAAATTACACTGAAAACATCCAAAATACATAATCTATACAACTAAAAACAACAATGCGATGTCAAAACATGTTGACATTGAGGTTAAAGAAAGTGTGCTTTATCAATTTACCAGATTTTGCTACTGTTACTTTGGACAAAATCAATACATCAATATTCCTGTAATGCAACTTGAATAACAAATCTTAAATAACAGCTCAATTTGAGGAAATTCTGTTTGACAGCCCTATTTTATACTAATACATTTGCTCAGAGAAAGAGATTGTGCTTAACAAGTAATACAAAAAAGTAATAAAAAAGGTAATATTCTTATAAATAAAAACAAACAAAATGTAATCTGCATTAACATTCTACTTTTTTAAATTAATCTCAGTTTAAGGAACTGTTTTGTGGCCTTCCATGGCTTGCTGTTTCACTGGGGTATAAAAACGAGGTAACACAATTGGTAAAAAAAAAAAAACAGCTAAATAAAATGTGGGCAATAATTAAAGCTGCAATATGTAACTTTTTGGGCGCCCCGTCCAAATTCACATAGAAATAGGAGTTGTAGATCTGTCCATCTCATTGAAAGCAAGTCTAAGAATCGGTAGATCTGTTCTATGTGCGCTATTTCTAATCTTCCTGTTCTTAAATTTGTTTTTGCGTCTTTTACTTTCGGTTATGTACAACAGCTTCAAACAGCTGAAAATACAATATTATTGGTTATTGAAAATATATTTCACAACGGTTTAGATGGTACAATGATTCTCTATACTATACTTTATTGTTTTGTCACAAACTGAAATTAGGCGAACTATTAGAATTTTAGCAACCAGGATATGGCGGCACGATTTCTGCATATTGCACCTTTAAGAATTTTAAAACCACTGGCACAGTGGTAAACTAGACTGGTAGTGGCAAGTGGTTCTTGAGGCAAAGAAAAATCAAAGTGCCACAGTTGGAGAATTACAGAACTTGGGGTCACCAAGTTTCCAAATCTACAATTAGACACCACCTTCATGCCAATAGGCTCTTTGGAAGGGTTGCCAGATTTATTTATTTATTGAGGGCAACCAATAAATGGAAATGCCTGGAGTTTGCTAAAAGGCATTGGCACTTGGATTGGAACCGGGTGCTATGGTCAGATGAGACGGAAATAGAGGTCTTTGTCCACGCAAAACAGCAGTGGGTTTGGCGTCGAAAGAAGGATGCATATGCAGAAAATACCTACTGTAAAACATATTTGATGTTATGGGGCTGTTTTGCTTCCACTGGGCCCTTGTTAAGGTCAACGGCATCATAAATTCTACTAAGTACTAGGACATTTTAGCTAAAGACCTGGTTGCCTCTGCCAGGAGGCTGAAACTTGGCTGTAAGTGGATCTTCCAGCAAGACAATGACCCCAAGCACACATCAAAATCCACGAAGAAACAGTAAATTGACCACAAAATCAACATTTTGCAATGGCCATCTCAGTCTCCGGACTTGAACCCCATTGAAAACCTGTGGTTTGAATTGAAGAGGGCAGTCCATAAGGGCAGACGGAAGGATATCAAAGATCTAGAAAGATTATGTATAGAGGAATGGACTAAGATCTCTCCTAATGTGTTCTCCAATCTCATAAAACATTACAGAAAAAAGCTCAGAGCTCTTATCCTCGCATGGGGAGGGTGCACAAAGTATTGAAAACAGGGGTGCAAATAATTAGAGAAACAAATATATTACTTATAAACAAAATATATTTCTCTAAGAAATTATATTAGTATAAAATAATATTAAGCTCAGTAGAATGGCGCCGGAGGAGATGGCTGCCGTTTCACGGGCTCTTAACCAATTGTGCTATTTTGTGTGTTTTTTCACGTTGTTTGGAACTTATTTTGTACATAATGTTTCTGCCACAGTCTCTTATGACCGAAAAGAGCTTTTGGATATCAGAACAGCGATTACTCAACTCGAACTGGACGAAGATTTTTTCTTTAATGAGTCGGACGCAAAGGATTTACTCGAGATACCCGACCAAGCCCAAATCCCTGTCATTCGCATGAAGAGAAGACGCCGATACAGGGGACGCAGGTCGGGGTGCCTTGTGAAAATTCGTTGGCGAGTGGGTAACCCGCCTCTACCATCCGTCCTATTGGCCAACGTGCAATCATTGGCGAATAAACTGGATGAACTCCGTTCAAGACTATACTACCAAAGGGACATTAAAAACGGTAATATCTTATGTTTCAACAAATCGTGGCTCAACGACGACATGGATAATATACAGTTGGCTGGTTTTCCGTGCATCGGCAAGACACAACAGCTGGCTCCGGTAAGACAAGGGGTGGGGTTCTGTGTCTATTTTTCAATAACAGCTGGTGCACGAAATCAAATATTAAGGAAGTCTCTAGGTTTTGCTCACCTGAGGTAGAGTATCTCATGATAAGCTGTAGACCACACTATTTACCAAGAGAGTTTATCTATATTTTTCGTAGCTGTCTATTTACCACCACAAACTGATGCTGGCACTAAGACCGCACTCAACGAGCTGTATAAAGCCATAAGCAAACAAGAAAATGCTCATCCAGAGGCAGCGCTCCTAGTGGCCGGGGACTTTAATGCAGGGAAACTTAAATCCATTTTTACCTCATTTCTACCAGCATGTTACATTTTTTTATTTAACCTTTTTTAACCAGGTAAGCCAGTTGAGAACAAGTTCTCATTTACAACTGCGACCTGGCCAAAATAAAGCAAAAAACAACAACAGAGTTACATATGGGATAAAAAAAAACGTACAGTCAGTAACACAATAGAAAATCTATATACAGTGTGTGCAAATGTAGTAAGTTATGGAGGTAAGGCAATAAATAGGCCATAGTGCAAAAATAATTACAATTTAGTATTAACACTGGAATGATAGATGTGCAGAAGATGATGTGCAAATAGAGATACTGGGGTGCAAATGAGCAAAATAAATAACAATATGGGGATGAGGTAGTTGGGTGGGCTAATTACAGATGGGCTGTGTACAGGTGCAGTGATCGGTAAGCTGCTCTGACAACTAATGCTTAAAGTTAGTGAGGGAGATAAGAGTCTCCAGTTTCAGAGATTTTAGCAGTTCGTTCCAGTCATTGGCAGCAGAGAACTGGAAGGAATGGCGGCCAAAGGAGGTGTTGGCTTTGGGAATGACCAGTGAGATATACCTGCTGGAGCACATACTACGGGTGGGTGTTGCTATGGTGACCAATGAGCTAAGATTAGGCGGGGATTTGCCTAGCAGTGATTTATAGATGACCTGGAGCCAGTGGGTTTGGCGACGAATATGTAGTGAGGGCCAGCCAACAAGAGCGTACAGGTCACAATGGTGGGTAGTATATGGGGCTTTAGTGACAAAAAGGATGGCACTGTGATAGACTACATCCAATTTGCTGAGAAGAGTGTTGGAGGCTATTTAGTAAATTACATCGCCGAAGTCAAGGATCGGTAGGATAGTCAGTTTTACGAGGGCATGTTTGGCAGCATGAGTGAAGGAGGCTTTGTTGCGAAATAGGAAGCCGATTCTAGATGTAACTTTGGATTGGAGATGCTTAACGTGAGTCTGGAAGGAGAGTTTACGGTCTAACCAGACACCTAGGTATTTGTAGTTGTCCACATATTCTAAGTCAGACCCACCGAGAGTAGTGATTCTAGTCGGGCGGGCGGGTGCAAGCAGCGTTCGATTGAAGAGCATGCATTTAGTTTTACTAGCGTTTAAGAGGAGTTGGAGGCTACGGAAGGAGTGCTGTATGGCATTGAAGCTCGTTTGGAAGTTTGTTAACACAGTGTCCAATGAAGGGCCAGATGTATACAAAATGGTGTCGTCTGTGTAGAGGTGGATCTGAGAGTCACCAGCAGCAAGAGCGACATCATTGATGTACACAGAGAATAGTCGGCCCGAGAATTGAACCCTGTGGCACCCCCATAGAGACTGCCAGAGGTCCAGACAACAGGCCCTCCGATTTGACACATTGAACTCTATCTGAGAAGTAGTTGGTGAACCAGGCGAGGCAGTCATTTGAGAAACCAAGGCTATTTAGTCTGCCAATAAGAATGTGGTGATTGACGGAGTCGAAAGCCTTGGCCAGGTTGATGAAGAAGGCTGCACAGTACTGTCTTTTATCGATCGCGGATATAATATCGTTTAGGACCTTGAGCGTGGCTGAGGTGTACCCATGACCAGCTCGGAAACCAGATTGCATAGCGGAGAAGGTACGGTGGGATTCGAAATGGTCGGTGATCTGTTTTTTTAATTTTTAATTTATTTTTATTTCACCTTTATTTAACCAGGTAAACCAGTTGAGAACAAGTTCTCATTTACAACTGCGACCTGGCCAAGACAAAGCAAAGCAGTGCGATAAAAACAACAACACAGAGTTACATATGGGGTAAAACAAAACAAAGTCAAAAATACAACAGAAATACATATATATACAGTGTGTGCAAATGTAGCAAGTTATGGAGGTAAGGCAATAAATAGGCTATAGTGCAAAATAATTACAATTAGTATTAACACTGGAATGATAGATGTGCAAGAGATGATGTGCAAATAGAGATACTGGGGTACAAATGAGCAAAATAAATAACAATATAGGGATGAGGCAACAGTGGGAATGCCCCTGTCTGTGTGCGTGTTTGTCTGCCACTATGTAGCCGTTAGCGATGATGCTAATGACAACCGTCTTCCGGTAGATGGAAAGGCTTTCCCAACAAAAACATTCTCAATTAAAGTGGAACTGACAGCGTTTTAGCAACATGAAATCTTATTAAAATATGTTCATATATGCCCCCATGAAGAATATGACGTTTCTTTTTTTTTTGACAAGCTAGCACAGATATGGTCATTTTCACTTTTTTATACATTCATAGACTGTTAGGGAATGATGTAGAGTAAAGCATTTGTGAAAATTCTACAGCAATATAGAGTGGGAAAGAGGCCACGAGTTTGGACAATTAATAGACACTGCAGTTTAATATATTTTGGTTTAGTTTTATATATTTTTCCAAAACAAAAATGAACTACAGTAACTGTTGGCATTTAATTTCCCTGCTGTACCAAAACCGAACTGTGGATCCAAAAACTCAATACCGACCGAACCGTGAGTTTGGTGAACCGTTACACCCCTATAACCTATTTAATACAGTATTTTTTCGCTCATCTTTTTTAGGGGTGCCAATAATTTGGGAGGTGACTATACATAACATTCCCATTTGGAAGACCAAAGACTGCTTTCAGATTAGACGGTGTCCAACCATTAAACCTGTTCCAAGAGCGAATGGGGCACCTGAGATATTGATAAGGGTGGTGTCCATCTTGCCCCCCTTGCCAGGTACAAAGCTCTCGATGAAGGTGGGTCCTCCGGTGCGTCTCATTCTGGACAGGCTGACCTTGACGAACTCCAGGTTGATGCTGAGGGAATCCTTCCTCCCAGTCACAGAGGATGGCTCCTCATCCACTGTACCTTAAAGGAAAGAACAGATATGAGACGAGACTTCATAGCGCTGTTACAATGCTACACACTGAACTGATGGAAGACTGAACAACCCTGTTGTGAAAGTACACTGTATCACTATAAGGCATGCTGTACAGCATGGTTGGTAGACTACACTGCAATTAAAATGCACAGGACTAAAAATAGGCTATAGAATATTAGAATATACATGAGACATTTTCAGGATGAGAAACTTTCACCACACTTTTCCATACCTAGAGGTCCTGGGCCTGGGGGCAGCCCTGTGACGGCAGACTTCTGTTTCCCTGCACCGTAGGGGTGGAACACGTAGAGGGAGAAGTCTGACATGCAGGCGGTGAAGCTGAGCCCTGAGGAGTTGCTGGCGGGGGTGGTGAGGTCTGACTGGCTGCTGCTGTGACGGGTCCGGCCCAGAGGGCTACCCAGAGATGGAGAGGGACCTGGAGGTTAGATCAAAGAGGTGTTATTATGGACTAGATAGACTGAAATGCAGCCACTCACACATCTATAGGTTGCTTTACAGGTGCATTGGTGTGTTGCTATCCATACCTCCTTTGATAGGGGGCGGTTTGAGGATGTGTTGGCTCGGGGGGGTGGAGGAGGGTGGGTGTGGGCCGTCAGTAGGTTGGGTGCTGGATGGGATCTCTAGTTCACCGCGATTAGAGGAGAATACCAGGTCTAGAGACGGCAGTTTCAGCATACACTCCACTCTGGACATGGGCAAGCAGCTGAAGCGGATCTGAGAGGGCTGGAGACATGGAGTCAGATTAGAATAGAATTAGAAAACTTCATTAATTTGAGTGTGGTGTCTCAGGGTCTGGACATTGTGACAGCAAAACATACTAATTTAAAACACTCTCTTATTGTACAATGGCGAACAGAGTGACATGAACTTCGCTTTGGGAGCCACGGTAAGGTGGGCAATTTGAGGTAGGTTACCTGTACTCTGACGTAGACCACCACGTCCACAGGGAAGGAGGAGTAGGCAGAGGTGGAGGAAACCAGGGAGGTGGTGGACTCCTCCAGGGGCTCCACTGGCTCAAACTGGCCTATGTCGTCCTCCTGGGAGTTCAGAGCTGAGAGACACACATAGACAAAAAGGGGTCAGCTTTGAGCAATGGTCTAGCACGTTGTTGGTCACTTAGGCCCAGCAACCACATTCTAACTATCTCTTTCCCACAGGCAATCATTTACGGATAATTTTTTGGGATAAAATCCAAAGAGGTGAGGTCAACAGGCGCTGGATTTGTAATTAAATGACCCTACATACCAGTATAGTTCCTTTCCACCGTGGTGATGGGAATGGTCTCCAAGGCTTTCTCCAGGAAGTCCAGAAGACAAGGGCTGATGACCATCTCCTCTGGTAGGGTCTGAAGGGCCACCCAGGCGTACAGCTTGGCTGTCTTCACCCCACCACTGCCTTTGCCTTTGGCTGCAGGTGACACATGATCTGAGTTTGACAGGGTCACACAAAGCTTCACTACTTACACCAACATTGGTCATTACAATAAGCCTAGAACATTGGGATGCTGTGTTTACTGTGACCCATTTCCTAACTAGTGATGGACTGAAACACATATTGGGACAGATTTATCAAACGTTTATCACCCCAAAGGAAAAAAAATAAGAAATAGGATCTTGTTCTTTCATTTACAGTACTTTCTGGTTCTACCCTTTCTGTTTTCTTTCATCTGGAGAATAACTTTGCAACAGTGTGTAATAAAACAGCCCCTTTATCTATCCACCCACTACGTGTCTGAAACAAAATTATTAAAACATTCCAACACAGAAATCACAAGCGTCTTCAACATTCACAGATCAAAACCTTGGACACGACTACACAAGCATGCATTACATTGATTGGGTGGGTTGATTGAGGATGTCTATGGCCACGATGGAGATGTGACGCTCAACTGTATGTCAAGACAGAAGGCGAAAGGGCATGCAAGTAATGATGTGAGCTCTCAGTACCTGATGGTAGAGGTGGGGGAGGTATGAGCGAGTTAGTCTTGCTTGGGGCAGCATTGGGAAGGTTGTGAGGGCCGCTATCTTTCATACCATACAGCTTGGACTCTTTGGAGAGGGTGCGGGGGAGGGAGGATCCTCGCGAGGCATTGGGTGACTCAGTCTTCATGGTCTTGGAGTTGTAGTGCAACTGGGGTTGGATGAAATAAAAAAATGGTTACTAGGGATGTGCAACATTCCCTTTCAAGACAATACATGGCCTCTGATACGATACAGGAACGATATGTTTTAGTTTGAAACGGTTCGATGCGGTCTGATTATAGGAACGAATCGGTGCGATTCGGTTCAATGTGATTCGATGCACTAAGGTCTAGAGACCTATCAACATATCGACTGTAGTACTTGCGCTGCTAAAACTCTGGACCACTGTTATTCAAACTTCCGTGATGCTTACAAGGCCCTCCCCCACCCTCCTTTCGGAAAATCTGACCACGACTCCATTTTGCTTCTCCCTTCCTATAGGCAGAAACTCAAAACAGGAAGTACCTGTGCTAAGGACTATTCAACGCTGGTCTGACCAATCGGAATCCACGCTTCAGGATTGTTTAGATCACGCGGACTCGGATATGTAGCTTGCAAAAATAATTTAGGCGAATACACCGATACGGTAACTGAGTATATCAGGAAGTGTATAGGAGATGTCATATCCACTGTGACTATTAAAACCTACCCTAACCAGAAACTGTGGATAGATGGCAGCATTCGCGCGAACCACCGCATTTAACCATGGCAAAGTGACTAGGAATATGGCAGAATACAAACAGTGTAGTTATTTACTCCGCAAGGCAATCAAACAAGCAAAACATCAGTATAGAGACAAAATGGAGTCGCAATTCAACGGCTCAGACACGAGACGTATGTGGCAGGGTCTACAGACAACCACGGACTACAAAAGGAAAACCAGCCACGTCGCCGAGACTGACGTCTTGCTTCCAGACAAGCTAAACACCTTCGCCCACTTTGAGGATAACACAGTGCCACAGACGCAGCCCACTACCAAGGACTGTGTGCTCTCCATCTCTGTGGCCGACGTGAGAAAAACATTTAAATGTGTTAACCCTCGCAAGGCTGCCGGCCCAGACGGCATCCCTAGCTGCGTCCTCAGAGCATGCGCAGACCTGGCTGGTGTGTTTAGGGACATATTCAATCTCTCCCTATCCCAGTCTGCTGTCCCACATGCTTGATGATGGCCACCATTGTTCTTTTACCCAAGAAAGCAAAGGTAACTGAAGTAAACGACTATCGCCCGTAGCACTCACCTCTGTCATCAAGAAGTGCTTTGAGAGACTAGTCAAGGATCATATCACTTCTTCCTTACCCTGCCACCTTAGACCCACTTCAATTTGCTTACCGCCCCAATAGATCCACAGATGATCGCCATAACTCTGCACACTGCCCTATCCCATCTGGACAAGAAGAATACCTATGTAAGAATGCTGTTCATTGACTATAGCTCAGCATTCAACACCATAGTACACCCCAGGCTCATCATTAAGCTCGAGACCCTGGGTCTGAACCCGCCCTGTGCAATTGGGTCCTGGACTTCCTGACGGGCCGCTCCCAGGTGGTGAAGGTAGGAAACAACACCTCCACTTCGCTTATCCTCAACACTGGGGCCACACAAGGGTGCGTGCTCAGCCCACTCCTGTACTCCCTGTTCACCCATGACTGCATGGCCAAGCACGCCTCCAACTCAATCATCAAGATTGCAGACGACACAACAGTAGTAGGCTTGATTACCAACAATGACGAGACCGCCTACAGGGAGGAGGTGAGGGCTCTGGGAGTGTGGTGCCAGGAAAATAACCTCTTACTCAACGTCAACAAAACAAAGGAGATGATCGTGGACTTCAGGAAACAGCAGAGGGTGCACCCCTCTATCCACATCGACAGGACCGCAGTGGAGAAGGTGGAAAGCTTCAAGTTCCTTGGCGTACACATCACTGACAAACTGAAAAGGACCACCCACACAGACAGTGTGGTGAAGAAGGCACAACAGAGCCTCTTCCACCTCAGGAGGCTAAAGAAATGTGGCTTGGCACCTAAAACCCTCACAAACTTTTACAGATGCACAATTGAGAGCATCCTGTCGGGCTGTATCACCGCCTGGTACGGCAACTGCACTGCCCGAAACCACAAGGCTCTCAAGAGGGTGGTGCAGTCTGCCCTCCAGAACACCTACAGCACCCGATGTCACAGGAAGGCCAAAAAGATAATCAAGGACATCAACCACCTGAGCCACTGCCTGTTCACCCCGCTATCATCCAGAAGGCGAGGTCAGTAGAGGTGCATCAAAGCTGGGACCAAGAGACTGAAAAACAGCTTCTATCTCAAGGCCATCAGACTGTTAAACAGCCATCACTAGCACATTAGAGGCTGCTGCCTATAGACATAGACTAGAAATCACTGGCCACTTTAAGAAATGGAACACTAGCCACTTGAATAATGTTTACATATCTGCATTACTCATCTCATTTGTATATACTGTATTCTATACTATTCTAATGTATCTTAGTCCATGCCGCTCTGACATTGCATGTCCATATATGTATATATTCATAATTCATTCCTTACTTAGATTTGTCTGTATTGGGTATATGTTGTGAAATTGTTAGATATTACTTGTTAGATATTACTGCACTGTCGGAGCTAGAAGCTCAAGCATTTCTCTACACCTGCAATAACATCTGCTAAACACGTGTATGTGACCAATACAATTTGATTTGATTTGAACATTTGTTACATAAACATTCATTTTTCATTCTAAATTAAAAATCTGCTGCTGATGGAGTTCATGAGCTGAAACTGTCTGAGCTGACTTCTCTTGTGTGTGTTTGTGTGTGTGTGTGTGCTTTTCACACACGACAGTGTCTAGGGTTTACCGAGAATGGTTCAACAAATAAAAAACATTCAGTCAGCAGCAGTCCTGTGGGTGAAAACAGCTAATTGATGAGAGGTTGAAGGAGAATGGCCAGAATTGTGCAAGCTTACAGGCGGGCCACAAACTGGCAAATATTGGCGCAGTACAACAGTGGTGTGCATAACAGCATCTTGGAACGCACAACTTGTAGATCTATGTCACGGATGGGCTATTGCAGCAGACGACCACACTGGGTTTATAGGATATTTTTACTCTGTCTCACTTAAGGGCACACAACATAACAAACCAATTATATGAATTATGCATGTTGTAGAATTAAACGCCTATATGCCCTATATGCCGATGGATTAAGAACCAATTAAAGGGTTAAAACAGAGCCATGATGAAATGGCTCTATAGGTTATTTTCCATTACATATATTATAATATGCTTAACAATAGTAGAGCCATTTCTTTAGTGCAAATGCTGTGCTTCTGAGAAAGGATCCCTCTAGCTCCCTGCAGCTTGTCTGGGTGTGTAGTCAAGGACATGGGATGGAGATAAACTTCAGGAACAGATAGACCTGTATTGTTTCAATTTCTTGTTATTTCTCGTTGCTTCTGAGTAACCTGGTCACACGGTCAAGACAAAGAGCCTCAGAATGACCACAGTTTTTTTCAGTTCATCCTAGACAAAGAGCCTCAGAATGACCACAGTTTTACAGTTCATCCTGTCTTTTAATATCTTCCAAGGGCGCAGCTGTGTGGAGATATCAGCTGTGTGGAGATAACAGAACTAAAGTTATCACTTGTTTGTGCGCTATGACCCGATACACATGGCCACAAGAAGAAACCATAGTGGCTCCAGGTCAAGGGAGGGTGGCTGTTTGGATAAAGAGGGGGTTCCGATATGATATGAAAAGGAGACCAAGCAGACATGGGGATAGACAGGAAAGAAGCTAGACAAAGAAACCATAGTGGCTCAGATATGATATGAAAAGATGAAGCTGTATAAAAAGAGAACTCCAAGTCTGGGACGGCAGTTGCTCTGCAGACCAGCTCGGCTCTATTGCTTGTGAAATAAAGTATATCTTGATTCTACAAAAACTCTGGAAGTACTTTGTTTGTTTGGTAATTTTCTACAACAGGTTCCACTCCTATAAGCTAAAAACAAGAAGAAGCGGGTTGCTCAAGTGGGCACGCAATCACCAACAATGGACAATTGAGGAGTGGAAAAACATTGCCTGGTCCGATGAATCCCGGTTCCTGTTGCGTCATGCTGATGGCAGAGTCAGGATTTGGTGTAAGCAGCATGAGTCCATGGCCCTACCTGCCTGGTGTCAACGGTACAGACTGATGGCAGTGGTGTAATAGTGGGGGAATGTTTTCCTGGAGTAGTTGTCACTATTCAGCATGACAAATGTCCAAAGTGAGAGCAGGTAGCTGACTAGTGGTGGCTATTCAGCAGCCTGATGGTCTGGGGGCAGAAGCCATTGGCTAGAATGTTAGTTTTAGCCATGATGCTCCTGTACTGCAATGAACAGTGGGGAGAACAAGTATTTGATACACTGCCGATTTTGCAAGTTTTCCTACTTACAAAGCATGTAGAGGTCTGTCATTTTTATCATAGGTACATTTCAACTGTGAGAGACGGAATCTAAAACAAAAATCCAGAAAATCACATTGTATGATTTTTAAGTAATTAATTTGCATTTTATTGCATGAAAAGCAGAACTTAATATTTGGTACAGAAACCTTTGTTTGCAATTACAGAGATCATACGTTTCCTGTAGGTCTTGACCAGGTTTGCACACACTGCAGCAGGGATTTTGGCCCACTCCTCCATACAGACCTTCTCCAGATCCTTCAGGTTTCGGGGCTGTTGCTGGGCAATACGGACTTTCAGCTCCCTCCAAAGATTTTCTATTGGGTTCAGGTCTGGAGACTGGCTAGGCCACTCCAGGACCTTGAGATGCTTCTTACGGAGCCACTCCTTAGTTGCCCTGGCTGTGTGTTTCGGGTCATTGTCATGCTGGAAGACCCAGCCATGACCCATCTTCAATGCTCTTACTGAGGGAAGGAGGTTGTTGGCCAAGATCTCGCGATACATGGCCCCATCCATCCTCCCCTCAATACGGTGCAGTCGTCCTGTACCCTTTGCAGAAAAGCTTCCCCAAAGAATGATGTTTCCACCTCCATGCTTCACGGTTGGGATGGTGTTCTTGGGGTTGTACTCATCCTTCTTCTTCCTCCAAACACAGCGAGTGGTTTAGACCAAAAAGCTCTATTTTTGTCTCATCAGACCACATGACCTTCTCCCATTCCTCCTCTGGATCATCCAGATGGTCATTGGCAAACTTCAGACGGGCCTGGACATGCGCTGGCTTGAGCAGGGGGACCTTGCGTGCGCTGCAGGATTTTAATCCATGACGGCGTAGTGTGTTACTAATGGTTTTCTTTGAGACTGTGGTCCCAGCTCTCTTCAGGTCTTTGACCAGGTCCTGCCGTGTAGTTCTGGGCTGATCCCTCACCTTCCTCATGATCATTGATGCCCCACGAGGTGAGATCTTGCATGGAGCCCCAGACCGAGGGTGATTGACCGTCATCTTGAACTTCTTCCATTTTCTAATAATTGCGCCAACAGTTGTTGCCTTCTCACCAAGCTGCTTGCCTATTGTCCTGTAACCCATCCCAGCCTTGTGCAGGTCTACAATTGTATCCCTGATGTCCTTACACAACTCTCTGGTCTTGGCCATTGTGGAGAGGTTGGAGTCGGTTTGATTGAGTGTGTGGACAGGTGTCTTTTATACAGGTAACGAGTTCAAACAGGTGCAGTTAATACTGGTAATGAGTGGAGAACAGGAGTGCTTCTTAAAGAAAAACTAACAGGTCTGTGAGAGCCGGAATTCTTACTGGTTGGTAGGTGATCAAATACTTATGTCATGCAATAAAATGCAAATTAATTACTTAAAAATCATACAATGTGATTTTCTGGATTTTTGTTTTAGATTCCGTCTCTCACAGTTAAAGTGTACCTATGATAAAAATTACAGACCTCTACATGCTTTGTAAGTAGGAAAACCTGCAAAATCGGCAGTGTATCAAATACTTGTTCTCCCCACTGTATGCAATGTTCCATCACATATTTTCATCACTGAGCAAATTTCAGGTCTGCTGAGTGCAAACTTGAACATTCGGAAAATTCTGTGCAACTTAATAATAATAATATAATATGCCATTTAGCAGACGCTTTCATCCAAAGCGACTTACAGTCATGTGTGCATACATTTTTACGTATGGGTGGTCCCGGGGATCGAACCCACTACCCTGGCGTTACAAGCGCCATGCTCTACCAATTGAGCTACAGAGGACCACAACTTCCGGCACGCGTTTACTGTGAACACTGAGGCTGTACCCACTTTAGTTTTAACAGTGGTCAAGTAGGCTACTGTGGCTATTTGATCATAATGTAGGCCTACCAGAGTGGCCTACCATAAAAAACAATGGAGAAAATGCATCCCATAACGTTTTAACATGGAAATAGCTGTTCTATCGTTTAGCCTACAGTAGCAGCCAATGTGTGGTGTTCAAGGTAGGCCTACATTCCATGAGACTTTTGGAAAAAAACATGCAGGGCTTGACATTAAACTGTTTATCCACTTGTCCTTCAGACAAGGATGTGACTGAAAATGTTGTTGTGTTGTTTGAGGCAAGAAACCACTTTACAAAATAAAATGCATCATTATTCCCATTACAGAGAATCAGACAAATTATGCTACCCTGTGCCTATTGGCTACTTAGCTTATTCAAGCCTGTCTCAAAATATAACAATGCCCCTTTAAGAAAAAAAAAAGAAGCTATTTTCCTGACTCGCTTTTCAAAGATGTCTAGAAATGCACGTTTTGTGCTCTTGTAGGAAGCAATCACTCCCCCATTGCTGACTACAAATTATCTATAACTGGGCTAATAACTCACTAATTAGAAAAGGATATGAACAAATGTACAAATGTGCACGTCGCTACATGTACCTCTCGCTTTGATCTCAAAACAAGCGCATCTACTCACGACCGCTCATGCTGTAAAAACAGTCCAGTTCAAAGTGAATGGCACAGATCCATATATGGCCTAATCAGCTTTGATTGGTTATGGCGCAGCAGAATAGTTTAACTCTAAGGTTATCAATGGCAATATAGTTCCTACCATTTAATGCATCATATTGATGGGTCATCGTTTAAACACTATTTATACCATAATATAACAGTAATGGCGTGAAAGCAAATGAACTGACCTTGACATCCACTCCCGGAATGTAAAAGACCGTGGTCTCCAGGTCACTGGATTTGGTCTGCAGAGAGGAAGGGACCTTCTTCCCGGCCAGGAGGTGGGTGGTTGAGGTGTAAGTGGGCTGGAGCTTCTTCTTCTTGGGTGGAGACTCCTGGTCCAGACTCCTGGAGCTGCGGTCACAACTCCTACAGTACGGGAGGTTAAATAGCTTTCTAGAAACTTTGGTAACACTTCATCCTTAAGAGTCTAAGCCGGGAGAGGGGTACTAAGCTAACATATGGAATTATTTTAAGATGGTCATACCAAGGATCATTTAGCTATTTGATTTGGAATTTTATGACCCCTTTAGGAATAAAAAAAAATATAAAAACAATATTTGATTAAACATTGAATTTGGCCTTACTGCTATTAGCCCATAGAAACGCATTGAATAACAGATTCATACATGGAAAAAAATAAATCAAAGGGAAGTTTGTTTTAAAGTGTCTGTCCTATATCTGAGAGATATCAGAAAGATCACAAAATGATTGTAATAGTTTTGTACACATATATACTACCGTTCAGAAGTTTGGGGTCACTAAGAAATGTCCTTGTTTTCGAAAGAAAAACAATTATTTTTGTCCATTAAAATAACATCAAATTGATCAGAAATACAGTGTAGACATTGTTAATGTTGTAAATGGCTATTGTAGCTGGAAACGGCTGATTTTTTATGGAATATCTACACAGGCGTACAGAGGCCCATTATCAGCAACCATCAGTCCTGTGTTCCAATGGCACGTTGTGTTTGCTAATCCAAGTTTATCATTTTAAAAGGCTAATTGACTATTAGAAAACCATTTAGCAATTATGTTAGCACAGCTGAAAACTGTTGTGCTGATTAAAGAAGCAATACAACTGGCCTTCTTGAGACTAGTTGAGTATCTGGAGCATCAGAAATTGTGGGTTCGATTACAGGCTCAAAATGGCCAGAAACAAATAACTTTCTTCTGAAACTCGTCAGTCTATTCTTGTTCTGAGAAATGAAGGCTATTCCATGCAAGAAATTGAAGATCTCGTACAACGCTGTGTACTACTCCCTTCCCAGAACAGCGCAAACTGGCTCTAACCAGAATAGAAAGAGGAGTGGGAGACCCCGGTGCACAACTGAGCAAGAGGACAAATACATTAGTGTGTCTAGTTTGAAAAACAGACGCCTCACAGGTCCTCAACTGGCAGCGTCATTAAATAGTACCCGCAAAATAGTGAAGAGGCAACTCCGGGATGCTGACCTTTTAGGCAGAGTTGCAAAGAAGAAGCCATATCTCAGACTGGCCAATAAAAAAAGTAGATTAAGATGGGCAAAAGAACACAGACACTGGACAGAGGAAGATTGGAAAAAAGTGTTATGGACAGATGAATCGAAGTTTGAGGTGTTCGGATCACAAAGAAGAACATTTGTGAGACGCAGACCAAATGAAAAGATGCTGGAGGAGTGCTTGATGCCATCTGTCAAGCATGGTGGAGGCAATGTGATGGTCTGGGGGTGCTTTGGTGGTGGTAAAGTGTGAGATTTGTACAGGGTAAAAGGGATCTTGAAGAAGGAAGGCTATCACTCCATTTTGCAACGCCATGCCATACCCTGTGGAGGGCGCTTGTTTGGAGTCAATTTCCTCCTACAACAGGACAATGACCCAAAGCACAGCTCCAAACTATGCAATAACTATTTAGGGAAGAAGCAGTCAGCTGGTATTCTGTCTATAATGGAGTGGCCAGCACAGTCACCGGATCTCAACCCTATTGAGCTGTTGTGGGAGCAGCTTGACCGTATGGTACGTAAGAAGTGCCCATCAAGCCAATCCAACTTGTGGGAAGTGCTTCAGGAAGCATGGGGTGAAATCTCTTCAGATTACCTCAACAAATTGACAACTAGAATGCCAAAGGTCTGCAAGGCTGTAATTGCTGCAAATGGAGGATTCTTTGATGAAAGCAAAGTTTGAAGGACACAATTACTATTTCAATTAAAAATCATTATTTCTAACTTTGTCAATGACTACATTTCCTATGCATTTTGCTATATTTCCTATTCTAACTAATTTCATGTATGTTTTCATGGAAAACAAGGACATTTCTTAGTGACCCCAAACTTTTGAACGGTAGTGTATATATATATATATATATATATATATATATATATATATATATATATATTTTTTTTTTTTAAAGAACAGCAACACTGCTGGGTTTTTCACGCTCAACAGTTTCCCGTGTGTATCAAGAATGGTCCACCACCCAAAGAACATCCAGCCAACTTGACACAACTGTGGGAAGCATTGGAGTCAACATGGGCAAGCATCCCTGCGGAACGCTTTCGACACTTTGTAGAGTCCATGCCCCGACGAATTGAGACTGTTCTGAGGGCAAAGGGGGGCATCATAGAGAATATCATTGTGTTCGTGAGAGTCTCATCTTTCCATAGATTGGTCATATTCGTTTTTTTGGCCAAACAGTTCGGACGCTACAGATGTTTTCGTGAGAAGACCGATTTTCGGGATGTCTCATGGTCTGACAAACCATGAGACACCTTCCACCGCAGATGCGGAAGGCTGCCATTGACGGATGCGGTGGATTGAGACGCAGCCTATGCATATCTCTAGTTTAAACTGACGTATTTTGATGGAGATGTTTTATTATTATGCTAATTAGATGTCTGCGGGGCGCGGACATCGACTCTAGGGGATTAATTTAAAGCCTGTAGGTATAATACTTTATGACTTGTCTAGATTATAATAAAGCATAAGTTATTAAATAGTTAGAAGATCCCTAGGGTTCAAGTGCCGTACCTTCTGAAGGAGACATCCTCGTGCTCGGGCTGCTGGGTGGTGGGGTGCAGGACACACTTGCCACTGTCGATCTCCACACGCACGTCCAGCTCAAAGTCGATGTTCCTCTCGGTGACTGAGCTCATGAGGCTGCGGTTGGTGGGTGTGCTGGGCCAGCGCTCACTGAACAGCTGGCTGACAGCGGCAAAGCCCGATGGTTTTCTGTGTGGCGGTTGGCTACGATAGCAGAACAAACGGGGGTCATGTTTACTAGGCAGGAAAATAGGAGAAAATGTTTTTTTAAATGAAATTGCATGCTTTTTAGTCTAGTAGTAGGTTTAATATGGTTCTGGAAACCGGCCCAACAAATATAAACAAGGACGAGAGAGAGGTGGAAAGGGGAGGGGGGATAACTCACACAGTCCTCCTGAAGTAGCCGGACGACCTCTCGCGGTCAAACTCTTCCTCCTTGTCGGAGTCCTCTGAGGAAGAGGAGGAGAGCTCGTCGCGCCGCATGTCGTCGTGCTGGAAGGGAATGCCAGGTGAGAAGACGGCGGGGGTTGCAGGGGCACTGAACACTGAGTGGGGTCCTTCGCTAACGGATGGGCAATGATGAAGGTGATGAAGATGAGGATGGAGTGGCTCATCAATGGTGATGGATAACAGGTCCATTTCTGTCTCCTCCGGAAACTTCAGCAGAGAACATATGGGAAGGGTTGAGAGGGGGACAGCTAGACTCTTTTAATTAGAAAAGGTCAACATATTGAAAGCGCTCATAAAGCTGTAGCAGATAGCATCCTGCTCAAAGTAACTATGTTCGTGTAGTAATACATTTATCATGGTTGGTTAGCTTGGCATCTTTAAAAACATTTTTGAAACATGGCCAATATCATGGCTATTGCTAGATGTAATGTACATAACTAGAGGCTACAATGTCCAGTAATACAGACTGCTATGTGCTTGAAGTTTATTTTCCTCCCACAGGCAGTGCTCTGGGAGAAGACAGAGGAAAGCGATATGGAGTGAGAGATGAAGAGGATGAAGATAAGGATGAAGACACCTGGGCAGAAAGAAGCTGCAGGACAACGTCTTCTCTCAGGACAGTGATAAACATTGCAACCCCTCACAAAGGACAGTATAGCCATAAACAATCACCAACTAAGAGCAGTTTGCATAAAGTACACATTTTCAAAAAGTAAAGGAAGAAACCTCAATGTTTCCTCTAGTCATGGCTTTGAGGCACAATTATTCTGAGGTTGGCCAAGCTAAGGGTTTAGAGTTTTAGGCTCAGAGGCTCTATACAACCTAAAAGTTTTAAATCCTAGCTACTACGGTTGGCCATGCATAGCTGCTGCAGTTAGAAAAATTGATCTGTGGTTGAAAGAAGTTGATTTGGAGCGACATGGAATTCCATAACAGGATGGGAATGTGTGAATCAATGGCACATTGAAATATAATCTTAAACATTTAGTATATACATGTATAGCACACTATGCAGGCCTACATGCATAAGTCTATCCATATCTACAAAGCCGCAATATCGCCGATGACGTAGCCATGTGGTGAATAATTACAGTTTTCTTTGTAACACATAACCAGAAGCAATGGCTGGTAGAAAGCCTTGTTATTACGAGCATATTAGTCCCTACTAACCATATTGCCATTTGAGTTGTATTGTGAGTAAAAAATATTAGCTAGAGTGCACTTGACTTGCTGATCTCTTGCTACTAAAGATGGTAAGGCATGCATCAAACCAACATACATGAGAATCAAGCATTGATTGATACTACTAGCCTATATCTCACCATCCTGTTTTGAATTTCCATGTTTTCAAACAAATCAGTTATTATTAGAGGAAGAAGTGGAAGAAGGTTATTTTTGATTTTCATTTGTTTGGGATTGTTTTTTATTGTATTACAAATACCTTGAAGACCTCTCCTGGACTGACTGGTCGGTTTGTAGAGTCCTGATTATTAATCTTCAGTTGAACAGAAAGAGAACAATGGATTCCATCCCAAAAATGAAAGCATGGCAACATGTTCAAGTGGGGATTTTGCACTCAAAAGGCACACTTCAAGGAATAATCCACTCCAAAACTCTTGTAATTTGCCGCATCATATGATGCATTTTGCGTCATCATGGTGATGTGGCAAGTTACAATTTACTTTTTGAAAGTCCTACATCTTGAAAACCTGATTGCTCACATGCAAAACATTTTGGGACTGTATCAACAGTGGACTAATTAAGAAAAATACTAAAATATAGTTTTTGAGTGGATTATTCCTTTAACTCTCCCTCAAGCTACAAGTAAGCTGAAAAGCTAACACTTAGCTGCCGCTGACATATCAGAGCGATTCTACAATGTTTAGACACACACAGCCTCAGGTCAAGAGGCCTGTCATAGTGATAAACAAGGACATGGAGGATGAAATGATGCCCTAACTCAATAAAACGCTGTGCAACTGCCATCTTGGAGAATCCAATTGTTATTAACTACCATGAGGATTATTGTCGTCCTTCTATACATTACCGTGTCCTGGATGTTGAAGGTAACTCTTGGTCCAGGGGAGGATGCGTCTACTCTGATGTCCGGCAAGTCATCTACGTCTCCTATTCTGGAACTGAGCGGGAAATTAGGAAAAATTATTTAAATTCAATTCCCAATCCTGATTTTACTGAATTGATACAGAATTTACCCCTAGCCTGCTTGGTTTCAGCTGCGGACAAGGAATTATCTTACAGTACCTTTGGCGTTCCATCCTTTTAAGTGGAGGCCTCCCTGCTGCTGTAGAGATGCTCTTGGAGCGATTATAGCTGGGTTTGTACCCCAGACCCCACTTGTCCTTTAGAGATGCAGCCTGGTGGAGAAGCATACAAACAAGTGATCAGGGTTTATCAGTGCTGGTGTCCTTTCCATTTCAATTCAGATGAATGGAGTTGTAAGTTGCAGGATTTACAAATGGTTTTCAAATAAAGACACTAACAGTCCAGAAGTATTAAGCCCAGCAAAAGGGTGGTAGTAAATGCGTAGTGGTCTCACCCTCATGCTGGAGCGGCGTAGTTTCTTGCGGACGTCTCTCCTAATGTCGTTGACGGCCACAGACTCTAGCTGCTGGTAGCGCTGGATCTCCTGGTTGATTGTGCCCTCACTCGCTCCCAATTTCCTGTGAAAGGAGAACATACAGTATACATTACATGAACTGGAGATGAGTGGGGGCAGGTAGCTTAGTGGGTAAGAGCGTTGTGCCAGTAACCGAAAGGTCGCTGGTTCTAATCCCCGAGCCGACTAGGTGAAAAATCTGTCGATGTGCCCTTGAGCAAGGCACTTAACCCTAATTGCTCCTGTAAGTCGCTCTGGATAAGAGCGTCTGCTAAATGACTTAAAAAAAAAAAAAAATAAGAGTGATCTGACTTCAAGGATTGATCCTTGGTTTTGGTGTTTGACGAGAACTCTTACTTGAGGTCATCAATGACTTTGGCCTGCTCGTTCAGCTCTCTGATGTCCACTATTCTTTTGTTTAACTTCCCTCTTCTTGGATCCAAGATCTGGTTGCCCACTGCCATCTGCCGCCTGAGGTCTATAGTCTCCTGTGGAGTATAGAGGACAAATTACACCCTGTAATTCACATATTACACCCCAGAATGTTTGATTATATGTATAACCTAGATTACACCACAATTAAATAACCTAAATTAGATTACACCTCCAACCTGGGTTATCACGACACAAAACTAAGGTATTAAAGCAATAATTAATTATTACACCAAAGTTACACAGCTACATTTGACATTGTAGTCATTTATCAGACGCTCTTATCCTGAGCGACTTACAGTTAGTGCATTCATCTTAAGATAGCTAGGTGGAAGAACCACATATCACTGGCATAGAAAGTAAAGTTTTTCTCAAAGTAGCCATCAGTAGAGTCAGAGCTAGAAAGGCGGGGGGGGGGGGGGGGGGGGGGGGGGCAAAGTGAGGAGGAGGTTTATTTAAGATACTGTTTGAAGAAGTAGGATTTCAGATGTTTTCGGAAGATGGGCAGGGACTCTGCTGTCCTAGCTTCAGGGGGAAGCTGGTTCCACAATTGGGGTGCCAGGACAGAGAATAACTTAGACAGGGCTGAGCGAGAGCTGCCCTCCCGTAGGGTGGGCCAAGAGACCTGAGGTGGCAGAACGGAGTGCTTGGGTTGGGGTGTAGGGTTTGAGCATATCCTGAAGGTAGGGAGGGGCAGTTCCTCTTGCTGTTCCGTAGGTAAGCGCCATGGTCTTGTAGTGGATACGAGCTAACCACTGGAAGCCAGTGGAGTGTGCGGAGGAGCGGGGTGACATGAGACAACTTGGGAAGGTTGAAAACCAGGCGGCTGCAGAGTTCTGGATAAGTTGCAGGGGTTTGATGGCACAAGCGGGGAGCCCAGCCAACAGCGAGTTGCAGTAGTCCAGACAGGAGAGGTCAAGTGACATGATTAGGACCTGAGCCGCTTCCCATGTGAGGTAGGATCGTACACTACGGATGTTGTAGAGCATGAACTTGCAGGAGCGAGTCACTGCTTTAATGTTTGCAGAGAACGACAGGGTGTTGTCCAGGGTCACGCCAAGGTTCTTTGCGCTGTGGGAGGGCGACACTGTGGAGTTGTCAACCGTGATGGAGAGGTCTTTGACCGGGAGGAAGAGCATCTCGGTCTTGTCGAGGTAATGGGCCGACATCCAAGTTGAGATATCTGCCAGGCACGCAGAGATGCGTGTCGCCACCTGGGTGTCAGAAGGGGAGAAGGAGAATATTAGTTGAGTGTCATCCGCATAGCAATGATATGAGAGACCATGTGAGGATATGACAGAGCAGAGTGACTTGGTGTATAGAGAGAAGAGGGCCTAGAACCGAGCCCTGGGGGACACCAGTAGTGAGAGTACGTGGTGCAAACACAGATCCTGACCACGTCACGTGGTAGGAGCCGCCTGCCAGGTAGGATGCAATCCAAGAGTGTGCAGAGCCTGAGACGCCCAGCCCTGAGAGGGGGGAGAGGAGGATCTGATGGTTCACGGTGTCAAAGGCAGCGGATAGATCTAGGAGGATGACAACAGAGTAGTGTCTCAACTTTGGCAGTGTGGAGATCCTCCGTGACACAGAGAAGAGCAGTCTCGGTTGAGTGACTCGTCTTGAAGCCTGACTGGTTAGGGTCAAGAAGATCGTTCTGAGAGAGCGATAACGAGAAAGATCAGAGACAGCACGCTCAAGTGTTTTGGAAAGAAGTGATACTATAGTGGTCTATAGTTTTTGACCTCAGATGAGTCGAGTGTTGGTTTCTTGAGGAGGGGAGCAACTCGGGCCATTTTGAAGTCATCAGGGATGAGTTGATGAGGGAAGTGAGGAATGGGAGAAGGTCTCCAGAGATGGTCTGGAGAAGGGAGGAGGGGATGGGGATGAGCGGGCAGGTTGTCGGGCGGTCAGACTGGAGAGAGAGAGAGAGAGGGGGGAGAAAGAGATCAAGGCGTAGGGTAGTTATGTGTGAGTGAGACCAGTGGACTTAATAGGCTGAGTGAATAAGTAGTGGATGTCGTCAACCTTCTTTTCAAAGTGGTTGACAAAGTTGTCCGCAGTGAGGGAGGAGGGAGGGGGAGGGGATGGAGGATTAAGGAGGGAGGAGAAGGTGGAAAATAGTTTCCTAGGGTTAGCAGCAGAAGCTTGACATTTTGAGTGGTAGAAAGCTTTAGCGGCGGATACAGAGGAAGAGAAGGTAGAGAGGAGGGAGTGAAAGGATGATATGTCCTCCAGAATTTTATTTAAGCTCGCAATGAGTCACTCAGCCACGGAGCAGGAGGGGAGGGCCGAGCGGCCCGGGAGGAAAGGGGACAGTGTGAGTCATAGGATGCGGGAAAGGGAGGAGAGTTGGGTCGAAGCGGCAGAATCAGGAGACAGGAGGGAGAAGGATTCACCACCTTAGCCAATTATCATGTTATACACACACATAAACAGCAGAAAAATATGCAAAATTAGAGTCACCATCACCATAATACTAGAGACCTTTGGGACCGATTGGTGACCCAATTCTCGGATGAGGGAGTTAACACAACATGTGTAACCAGGTGAAAATAGAACCAGAAGCGCTTAAACCCCACTGAGTCAATTGCTAAGTGACAATATTATTTTTGATATGGGGATGGCCATGAATATTCGAATACTTGCGAGAGTATTCATAAACATAAAAATAAATAATAGGCCTATTTTAACAATTAAAAGGCTTTGTCTAAATTAAATTAAAGTATATATGTGACATTGCTACACACAAGGATATACCATGACATTTTAAATTCTTAATTCAATAAAACAAACTTTTGAATTTAGTTTTTATAACATGCACCCCATAAAAACACAGTGTAGCCTACATGGGTTTGTTATTGTCAGCCAATCAAAGTGGCAAGCAACGTGGGAGATCTCTAATCAATGCAAAATGGGAATTGAAATTACGTAAATAAGCTAAATGAGAAGTAGTAGGCTACAACGAGCAACCATCAGCAACCATTATGTCACGGAATCAGCCGAGGCTGCTCCTCCTCCTTGCTCGGGCAGGCTTCGGCGTTCGTCGTCCCCGGAGTACTAGCTGCCACCGATCTATGTTTCTGTGTTTGACTTGTTTTGTCTTGATTGTGTACACCTGTTTCCTATTATGTTGTATTGTATTCCCTATTTAACCCTCTGTCGTTCATTGTGTGTTGTGTGTGATTGTTCTCGTCATTTTCGGCAGTTGCTAGTGTGCGGGTATTCCCCTTCCTGTTTGGAGGTTGTTTTGTATTCTGGTTACTTTGTTAGTAAAGTATCGTTTCCAGTCGCTCGGTGTCCTGCGTTTGACTTCGCCTACCTCATTCACGTCGTACTTTGACACATGAATCTCAATGAAGTTGTTGTAGACAAGGATGGGAAGTGCAGAAAAATAGCCTCAATTAAACTCAATTGCTGCAAGAAAGCAGAGCGGCACCTCTCTCCCCAAGTCACGCAGGCTACGCAGCAAGCCATTTCCAAAGTTACAAAAATTATAATTTAACATGCATTTCAATTATCCAGATATCCCTAAAAAATGTAATAATATTATTCGAATTGTGAACTTGATTCAAATGTCCATCCCTAGTTTGCCGTTAGTTTCTTCTCCAAATACACAATTGTGTCACTTAGCAATTGAAATCCATTCTGCAGCTTGAAATCTGGACAATAAAGCCTTAATGTCACCCTTAGCATGATTAACGGGCCCAGAAGACAGGAGAATAGAGTGGGGCAGTTGAGGATGGGCTACAGTACATACACATCCCCAGGATAGGGGTCTGGGAGCCCTGGCCCTGTTCCCTCTGGACTGGGGAGGGGCATAGTCGTTTAGGTAGTCGCCTGGTACCGAGACACTCTGGCTTTTCAGGCCCAGTATGCTGTTTACCAGCCGCGTCCTGAACGTGAGCCTGGGGCTGCTGCACTCTCCCTCTGGGCTCCCCTGCAAGCAATGGGATGGATACGCCCAAGACAAGGTTCAACTGGGTGCATGGACTAAGTCACTTGGTTAGCTTTTAGTGCTGTCACAGTGGCTGTAATGGGTTGACATGGTTTGAACAGACATGCAGTCTTGACACTCAGTGCTTTTTTACATTCTTGACACACAGTCAGGGATTTTACACACGCACACAGAGCAACAATAATCTCTAACACAATCATAGTGCTTTAAGAGTCTTTTAAATCATCTCGTGGTTGTACTGCAAAAGAATCACAGGCATTAAACTCACAGGACACGAACACACTCAAAGTTATACAATTCATATGTTCAAAGTGATACACAAATATTCAGCATGGTTATCATGGTTAGGGAAAGACTGAAAAGACTGACCAAATGGATGGTGGGTGACATGGTGTCGGCCTCATCCTCATCAGACAAGTTGACCATGTTGACTGAGTTGAGGTCAGCGATGTCATCCGCATTCTCCTCTCCAGTCAGCGAGGTCAGTGTGTTGCCTAGGGCATTGAGACGCTTGCCAATGTTGGGGTCCATGTGGACGTCGATACCACACATTTTCCACAGCACGTTCAGCGCCCAGGTGCCTGCACTGCTGCTTTCTGATGGTCGCACATGGAGGGAGAAATAATATTTTCCAACACTAAATCCATCTATCACTCACTAGAATACAAAGATCTTGTTCACAAAGAAGTAGAAAACAGCTGTGCTGTGTTTTGGATAACAGCTTGACAACGTTCACAGTCAAACTAACCCCTTTCATAATATACACAAGGTTTAATGCCCATTATCAGTGAAGTACTTACCTGCAGAAGGCTGGCCTGTGGTTCTGGAGCACACTTCATATGTGCCATCTGGAACAACACCTACAAAATCAACACATTCAAATATTACATCAAAAAGAAGACCGGCACCGTGTAGGGGACCACACTGCAGGAAGTTAGGCACATGTACAGCTTAAGTAGGGTGGAATATCAAAAGGCATTGGTCCCTTTGGTACTCAATATCTTGGTGAAGCTGAAGACTTTCCCTATGTTGTTTTATGTACTTAATCTTTATAAAGTAATCTTCTGATGTTAAACTTAAAACCTCAGCTTTTCCAGGCCCAGCTCTTATAGACAAGCCGGCCCATTTTCTGATTTCATGCATTTTCAATCCCAGTCTGTATGTAAAAGCCAACATCTCACGGTCCAATCACTCACAGGCGTTCATGATCATGTCTCCTCGGATCTCAGGCTTCCAGTCGTCCCAGGAGGTCTCAAAGCCCTCAGCGAAGCGGATGCAGAAGTTCTTGAAGTGGCCCTTGCTGACCAGAGACTCAGAGGAGCAGGCGGTGATCAGCGTGCTCTCGATGGTCAGCACCAGGGCCGAGCCCGTGTCAAAGTCAATGCTGTGGTTGGCCTGTGAGGATCGAGGTTTAAGGGTGGATGGGGGAGTAAGATGTTAAAGTTAGGTTACTGGTAAGTCTAGCACAGGGATAACATTAAGGTTAAGAGTCAGTCGTGTGTTAGGAATAGGTGAAGTGTTACGGTAACATTTTATTTGACGGTCTGTTTATAAACATTAACTAGTTTGTTAACAATTAAACTCAACACACATGTAAGGCTTGTTATTTATCCATGTATCATATTATGATTACAGGTGTTTGTAATAATTCATGAAATTATATGAACATATGCACAAGTTTGCTGCTTGAAACCTAATAATAGAATGGTTTACTAATGGTTAAAAACTATTTAATAACGGTTTTAAGCATCATATTGGCCAACCTTTAAATAAAGTATATTACTTAGGAATAGGAAATAGGAGACATTCAACCAGTCAAACCATTTCAAGCTTCATTAAAGTTATGTCAGTTGTCTCAATTAAATAGTTGGTTGTTCACTGCCATAACCTGTTATGTCAGCTTTGTGTCAAGATTGCGTCACAACACTTATAACAGGTTGCTACAAGTAAAACAGTAATAGACCGTTGAATAACATCACACAAGTGTTCACAAGAGATTGAATAGATTGTAAATTACTTTTCGTGCATATTTTTGCGGGCCTACAGATCTGCTGGCCCCAGCTTCAGAGCGGATGCCTTCGAACCCTGGTATATGTCCTTTCTATGGAGATAAGAGATACAATTATAACTTTCACTAACTTGTAAGAGAAACCACTAGGGACTGTGGATGTAGTCAAATTCCAACTTTGACCTAATTTTGGCCTAATTGTATCTATTCAGCTACATACTACTGCAGCTAGCTACACTTTATTAGGTACACCACCCCTTTCACGAAAATGGTTCGCTCCTAAAGCAGGCAGACAGGCATTGAGGCATTCAGTTACTGTTTGATTGAACGTTAGAATGGGCAAAACGAGTGACCTAAGCGACTTTGAGTGTGGTATGATCGTCGGTGCCAGGCGCGCCAGTTCCACTATCTCAGAAACAGCCAGCCTCCTGGGCTTTTCATGCACGACAGTGTCTAGGGTTTGCAGAGAATGGTGAGACAAACAAAAAACATCCAGTCAGCGGCAGTCCTGTGGGCGAAAACAGCTTGTTGATGAGAGGTCGAAGGAGAATGGCTATTGTAGCAGACGACCACACAGGGTTCCACGATTGAGGAGTGGAAAAACATTGCCTGGTCCGATGAATCCCGGTTCCTGTAGCGTCATGCTGATGGCAGAGTCAGAATTTGGCGTAAGCAGCATGAGTCCATGGCCCCATCCTGCCTGGTGTCAACGGTTCAGGCTGGTGGCAGTGGTGTAATGGTGTGGGGAATGTTTTCCTGGCACTTGTTAGGTCCCTTGATACCAATTGGGCAATGTTTCCATGACCCAAAGAATTTAGGCTGTTCTGGAGGCATCGTGGGGTCTGACCCGGTAATAGATGGGTGTACGTAATAAACTGGCCACTGAGTGTATATACATTTACATTTACATTTTAGTCATTTAACAGACGCTCTTATCCAGAGCGACTTACAGTTAAGTTGTTAACATGCTCTACCAACTGAGCTACAGGAGGCATTTTTGTCATTGTTGTTGAGGACCCCTCCTTTCCTTTGTTTGCTGAAGGCCCACCTGAACTCCAGGCTGTGTTAATATAGTGAGATATATATATATATATACACATACACACACACATACATACAGGGCCCACCTGAACTCTTAACAATTTTAATAAACTTTCATATTTGCATTCTGTCTCTGTTGTTCATTCATTAAGCTGTCCTCAATTGAACTTCCTGAATGGATCCAAACCCTGCTGTACAGTAGCTTTTACATCATGATATGTAAGGCTAGTCCTTGTTTCCCCCTTCCACAGCAGAGGTTTCCTCCTCCTCCTCTTCATCACTGATACTAGTGAAGTCCTCCTCACTCTTTACCTCTGCAGCTAGGTCCTCCTCAGGAAGTGAGCTGTGGCGTCTCTTCTTGTGTCTCCCAAGACTCTGAGAAGTGGTGAAGCTCTGGCCACATTCGGCACAGCTGGAAGATTTCTCTCCTGTATGAACTCTATTGTGTATTTTAAGGTCTGATGATCTTGTGAAACCCTTCCCACAGACAGAACAGCTGTATGGTTTCTCTCCTGTGTGTGTTGTCATGTGTCTTTTCAGATCAAATAACCGTTTCCAGTCTTTCCCACATACAGAGCAACTGTATCTCTGAGCTTTGAGATTCCCCTGGGTTTCTTTAGGTACTCCTGATGTAGAGGCTCTCCCCTCCTTGTCAGAACTCTTGTTGAGACGATGAAGATCCCAACCAACTTTTTCTCCATCTGAATGAATCAGACCACCAACTTCCTCCTCCTCATCTTCTCCCTCCATCCCTCCTTCAATTGTAACAGGGTTTTGAAACTCAACAGGTGGTGAACCAACATGAGTTTTCTGGTGTCTCTGAAGTTTTTGAGAACTAATGAAGCGCTGTCCGCGTTTAGCGCAGCTGTAAGGTTTCTCTCCTGTATGATCTTTGTGGTGGACTAAAAGGTCTGCTGATCTTGCAAAACTCTTCTCACAGACAGAGCAGGAGTAAGGTTTCTCTCCAGTGTGTGTCCGGAAATGCTCCTTCAAGTAACGTGCTTCAGAAAAACTCTTCCCATATAGCCAACTATATTTTAATAAAGTCACTGAAGTTATTCAAATTCACCAAACTACTACTAGTATATACTCATTCTTCTATATTTGGTGTTTTTATAATTGGTTCTGATTCAAATGAAGCATTGCGACAAAAAATTGTTGTAAAGAAGAATAACCCATTTGAGAAAACTTTGGATCAGCTCTTTTGCGAACGAGATGACCCATGATTTGACGATTACTCACACTGTGTGCCACTTTCAGACAAGCATATTTCTTACAATTTAGCTCATATCAATGTAACACACATAAACAGTTTCAGGACAAGGTCTGATAAAAAAAAATAGGTCTACGGGTCAAAGACAAAATTGAGCACCGTCAGGGTTTGGGTAGTAAAATACACTGAAATGTAATAACTATTATTTGTTACATGTAAAACTATTCTTAGGAGCATTGTGTGTCCAAGACGTGTGCCCTCTTTCTCTATAAGCCCGACATGTATTAATATACAGTACTTAAAAATTATATACCATTTTAACATGCCACATTGCAAAGGCTTTCTACCTAAAACATTTGTGTGCAAAAAAATTGCCCAAATTGTTAACATCATTGTTAAGATCATCATTCTCCTCCTACCAGTGAGGTGTTCGTGATGGGCAAACAGATTCCAAGGTCGTTGACGGTGAGCTGCAGGAACAGGGTGCTGAAGGCCTGGGCTGAGGTCTGTTGGATGCCCGGCAGCTTGTCCACCACCTCCTTGGTGGCCATGTGGATGTCTTTGTTCAATGCCAGACGCTGCTCGTTCCAGTTGTCGTAGGCCGCCTTGTAGTTCAGCCAGAAGAGCACAGCTGCAACGAGAAGGGAAACAGTGATGACATTTTCTATGACGATTTTGTTAGGGAGGTTATACAATTTAGAACATTTGATTCTGAGAATTTGAAAACTTAGTCTACTATTAAGGCCTGACCTCTGTCAAAGGCCACAGGCTGAGCAAAGACGATTGGCCGGTTGAGAGTGATGAGTACTGCCTCTTTGTCCGAGGAGCCACTGATCTCCTCCTGAAGGGCGTTCCGTAAGCCAATACGAGTGCGGAAGTAGGCCACCTGGTGGAAGTCTGAACCCGCCTCCTCGTACACCTGTGGAATAAAGAAATAGTTATAACTCCCAAAACAGGGGCAGACACAGTACTTTATTGATCCTCAAAGGAGGAATCTGATTGCAGCAGCTAATGGAAACAAACACAACCTATATTGATTTGCTGTAGCCTACCTGATGCTTGACTATTTGGCCCAAGGCGAGGTTAAGGTCCACTTGGCACTTCCCAAACAGTTTGAGGTAGCTGCTGCTGCCGCCAGGCTGGGCTTTACACTGGATCCTGTTGGAGAGCTCCAGCTCTATCAGCCCTGTCTCGAAGCGCACCGCTCTCATGGATGGAGTGGTGGCTGTCATCTGGATACCCTGCAAATCATAAGAATTCAGGAAAAAGTCATCCGTTCCATTCCTGCACACAAGCAATAAGTAACAAGAATGTAAACTGCAGCACATTTCTTGTTTTAAATACTGATACCTTAAACATCAGACTGAGTGAGTAGAGCAGAATCTTGGGCTTGTCAGCATCTGTTGAGATGTCATGCTCATTCCACAGAGGGATGGGCTGCTCTCCTCCTGCATAGACAAACATTTAACCCAAAGTGTCTAAGCAAAATACTGAAACACAACAACAACTTTCAGTGTCTTTGTGTTATACAGCGGGACAGACCTGATACTTTCTGGATGACCTCATTGACTTCCTTCATGAAAACCTTCTGCAGGAACACCAGGTGGTTCAGGAGGTCCGTGGTGAGGTTGTGCTCAAAAGAACCAATCTAGGTGAAGGGGGATTGAAATCAATGAAAATAACAGAAAGGCCCACACAGACTGAATATTCTCCCAATTATCACTTCATTGACAATATTTCGATTCACAAGGATCTTTGTCAGGTCGAACGGACAGAGTACTCACATCCGCAAATACATACAAATTTCACCCCGCATGAGCATTACGCACGACGCCAATTTATATCTAGCTCAGATAATATCCAAACAAATGAACAAACAATCAAAATAGAACAATAACTGTGTTGACATATCATTTATATTAATAAAAGGTATAGTCTGCAATACCAGAGATATTCTACTTGAATATTGCAGCCTCACCTCAGCCACACAGCGCAGGTAATTCCCCTGGAGGTAGTTGCCCTGCTTCATGGGGATTGGGAAGTCGTCGGTAAAATCTGAGTGGCCCTCGTGGTCCTCCATTATGTATTCTCCAGACATGGTGACTGGCGGGAGGTTGAGGTTGGCCGAGGGCGGCATGGCGGACATGGTGTCCACCGGGGACACCTTGGACTGGAAACACAGCTTGTGGTTGGGCAGCTCGAATGTGAACCTTGTCTGGGCGCCTGCACAGAGAACAAACAAGGATGAGTTTAACAATCTACTCTGAATTACATTAAGATGCATTGTCATATCACAAATAATAAGATCCTCATAATACAAGTACAATATCCCATTACCCCAGTTGGGGGTTAAAGCTTGGTGCTAACTACAGTGCCTTCATAAAGTATTCATAGCCCTTGACTTATTCCACATTTTGTTGTGTTACAGCTTTGGGGATTTTCTCCCATTCTTCCTTGCAGATTTTCTCAAGCTCTGTTAAGATGGGGAGAGGCGGTGAACAGCAATCTTCAAGTCTTTCCACAGATTTTCAACGGGATTCAAGTGCCTTTTTGCAAATTGTCATGTGCCATTGTCCGTCTGGCCACTCTCCCATAAAGCCCAGATTGGTGAAGTGCTGTAGAGACTGTTGTCATTTTGCCAGGTTCTACCATCTCTGCCAAGGAACTCTGTAGTTCTGTCAGAGTGGTCATTAGGTTCTTGGTCACCTGCCTGACCAAGGTCCTTCTTGCCCGGTTGCTCAGTTTGGTCGGATGGCCAGCGCTAGGCAGAGTCTGGGTAGTTCCATATTTTTTCAATTTCCCAATAATGTAGACCACTGTGCTCTTAGAAACGTTCAACCCTCTAGAAATTGTTTTATACCCTTCCCCAGATACACTACATGGCCAAAAGAATCTGGACTATGCTTCAATTAGTGGATTCTGCTATTTCAGCCACACCCGTGGCTGACAGGTGTATAAAATCGAGCACACAGCCATGTAATCTCCATTGACAAACATTGGTAGTAGAATGGCCCGTACTGAAGAGCTCAGTGACTTTCAACGTGTCACAGTTATAGGATGCCACCTTTCCAACAAGTCAGTTCATCAAATTTTTGCCCTGCTAGAGCTGCCACGGTCAACTGTAAGTGCTGTTATTGTGAAGTGGAAACGTCGAGGAGCAACAACAGCTCAGCCGTGAAGCTGCAGGCCACACAAGCTCACAGAACAGGATCGCAGAGTGCTGAAGCGCGTAGCGTGTAAAAATAGTCTGTCCTCGGTTGCAACACTCACTACCAAGTTCCAAACAGCCTCTGGAAGCAACTTCAGCACAATAACTGTTCGTTGGGAGCTTCATGAAATGGGTTTTCATGGCCGAGCAGCCACACACAAGCCTATGTGCAAGGGTGTAAAGTTTGCTGCTGTTGGACACCTGCCCCAATGCATAGTGCCAACTGTAAAGTTTGGTGGAGATGGAATAATGGTCTGGGGCAGTTTTTCATGGTTCGGGCTAGGTCCCTTAGTTCCAGTGAAGGGAAATCTTAATGCTACAGCATACAATGACATTCTAGACGATTCTGTGCTTCCAGCTTTGTGGCAACAGTTTGGGGAAGGCCCTTTCCTGTTTCAGCATGACAACGGCCCTGTGCACAAAGGGAGGCCCATTCAGAAATGGTTTGTCGAGATCGGTGTATAAGAACTTGACTGGCCTGCACCGAGCCCATTCTCAACCCAATCGAAAACACCTTTGGGATGAATTGGAACGCCGACTGCCCTTGACCAGCACAAAAACATCCTGTGGCGTACTGCATTGGCATCGAACAGCCCCCGCGATATGCAACTTTTCAGGGAAGTCAGGAACCAATATACACAAGCAGTTAGGAAAGCAAAGGCTAGCTTTTTCAAACAGAAATTTGTATCCTGTAGCACTAACTCAAAAAAGTTTTGGGACACTAAAGTCCATGGAGAATAAAAGCACCTCCTCCCAGCTACCCACTGCACTTAGGCTAGGAAACACTGTCACCACCGATAAATGTATGATAATCGAGATTTTCAAAAAGCATTTTATTATTTATTATTTCATTTTAGTCATTTAGCAGAAGCTCTTATCCAGAGCGACTTACAGGAGCAATTAGGGTTAAGTGCCTTGCTCAAGGGCACGTCGACAGATTTTTCACCTAGTCGGCTCGGGGATTAGAACCAGCGACCTTTCGGTTACTGGCACAACGCTCTTAACCACTAAGCTACCTGCCGCCACATTTTGCTACAGCTGGCCATGCTTTCCACCTGGCTACCCCTACCCCGGCCACCAGCTCTGCACCCTCCGCTGCAACTTGCCCATGCCCCCCCCCAGAAATTGTCGCAACCTCTATTACTAACCTGTTCAACCTCTCTTTCGTATCGTCTGAGATCCGCAGAGATTGGAAAGCTGCCGCGGTCATCCCCCTCTTCAAAGGGGGTGACACTCTAGATCCAAACTGTTACAGACCTATATCCATCCTGCCCTGCCTTTCGAAAGTATTTGAAAGCCTAGTTAACAAACAGATCACCGACCATTTCGAATCCCACCGTACCTTCTCCGCTATGCAATCTGGTTTCCAAGGTGGTCATGGGTGCACCTCAGCCACGCTCAAGGTCCTAAACGATATAATAACCGCGAACGATAAAAGACAGTACTGTGCAGCCGTCTTCATCGACCTGGCCAAGGCTTTTGACTCTGTCAACCACCGCATTCTTATTGGCAGACTAAATAGCCTTGGTTTCTCAAATGACTGCCTTGCCTGGTTCACCAACTACTTCACAGATAGAGTTCAATGTGTCAAATCGGAGGGCCTGTTGTCTGGACCTCTGGCAGTCTCTATGGGGGTGCCACAGGGTTCAATTCTCGGGCCGACTCTATTCTTTGTGTATATCAATGATGTCGCTCTTGCTGCTGGTGATTCTCAGATCCACCTCTACGCAGACGACACCATTTTGTATACATCTGGCCCTTCATTGGACACTGTGTTAACAAACCTCCAAACGAGCTTCAATGCCATACAACACTCCTTCCGTGGCCTCCAACTGCTCTTAAACGCTAGTAAAAGTAAATGCATGCTCTTCAATCGAACGCTGCTTGCACCCCCCCCGCCCGACTAGAATCACTACTCTCGACGGGTCTGACTTAGAATATGTGGACAACTACAAATACCTAGGTGTCTGGTTAGACCGTAAACTCTCCTTCCAGACTCACATTAAGCATCTCCAATCCAAAGTTACATCTAGAATCGGCTTCGTATTTCGCAACAAAGCCTCCTTCACTCATGCTGCTAAACATGCCCTCGTAAAACAGACTATCCTACCGATCCTTGACTTCGGCGATGTCATTTACAAAATAGCTTCCAACACTCTACTCAGCAAATTGGATGTAGTCTATCACAGTGCCATCCGTTTTGTCACCAAAGCCCCATATACTACCCACCATTGTGACCTATACGCGCTCGTTGGCTGGCCCTCACTACATATTCGTCGCCAAACCCACTAGCTCCAGGTCATCTATAAATCACTTCTAGGCAAATCCCCACCTTATCTTAGATCATTGGTCACCATAGCAACACCCACCCGTAGTATGCGTTCCAGCAGGTACATCTCATTGGTCATCCCCAAAGCCAACACCTCCTTTGGCCGCCATTCCTTCCAGTTCTCTGCTGCAAATGACTGGAACGAACTGCAAATATCTCTGAAGCTGGAGACACTTCTCTCCCTCACTAACTTTAAGCATCAGTTGTCAGAGCAGCTTACCGATCACTGCACCTGTACACAGCCCATCTGTAATTAGCCCACCCAACTACCTCATCCCCATATTGTTATTTATTTTGCTCATTTGCACCCCAGTATCTCTATTTGCACATCATCTTCTGCACATCTATCACTCCAGTGTTAATACTAAATTGTAATTATTTTGCACTATGGCCTATTTATTGCCTTACCTCCATAACTTACTACATTTGTACACACTGTATATAGATTTTCTATTGTGTTATTGACTGTACGTTTTATTTTTGTTTATTCCATATGTAACTGTGTTGTTGTTGTTTTTATCGCACTGCTTCGCTTTATCTTGGCCAGGTCGCAGTTGTAAATGAGAACTTGTTCTCAACTGGCTTACCTGGTTAAATAAAAGTGAAATAAAATAAAAAATAAAAAACATCAGTGCCTGACCTTACTAACGCTCTTGTGGCTGAATGGAAGCAAGTCCCCGCAGCAATGTTCTAACATCTAGTGGAAAGCCTTCCCAGAAGAGTGGAGGCTGTTATAGCAGCAAAGGGGGGACCAACTCCATATTAATGCCCATGTTTTTGGAATGAGATGTTCGACGAGGCATGTACATGTAGTGGACACACCTCATAACAATTATATCTTGGAGATCTAAGGACAGTTCCTTGAACTTCAAGGTATAGTTTCTGCTCTGACATGCACTATCAACTGTGGGACCTTATACAGACAGGTGTGCTTCTTTCTAGATGTCCAAACAATTGAATTAGCCACAGGTGGACTCCAATCAAGTTGTAGTGACATCTCAAGGATGATCAAAGGAAATTGGATGCACGTGAGCTACATTTGGAGTGTCATAGCAAAGGGGTGTGAATGCTTACACTATAAGGCAAAAGTTTGGACACACCTACTCATTCCAGGGTTTTTCTTTATTTTTACAATTTTCTACATTGTAGAATAATAGTGAAGACATCAAAGCTATGAAATAACACATATGCAATCATGTAGTAACCAAAAAAGTGTTAAACAAATCAAAATATATTTTATATTTGAGATTCTTCAAAGTAGCCACCCTTTGCCTTGATTACAACTTTGCACTCTTGACATTCTCTCAACCAGCTTCATGAGGTAGTCACCTGGAATGCATTTCAATTAACAGGTGTGCCTTGTTAAAAGTTAACTTGTGGAATTTCTTTCCTTCTTAATGCATTTGAGCCAATCAGTTGTGTTGTGACAAGGTTGGGGTGGTATACAGAAGATAGCCCTATTTGGTACATGACCAAGTCCATGTTATGGCAAGAACAGCTCAAATAAGCAAAGGGAAATTACAGTCCATCATTACTTAAACCTCTTAAGGATCGGACCCTTTTTTTCAATTTTCGCCTAAAATGACATACCCAAATCTAACTGCCTGTAACTCAGGACCTGAATCAAGGATATGCATATTCTTGATACCATTTGAAAGGAAACACTTTGAAATTTGTGGAAATGGGAAATTAATGTAGGAGAATATAACACATTAGATCTGGTAAAAGATATTACAAACAAAAAAACATGCGTTTTCTATTATTTGTTTTGTTCCATCATCTTTGAAATGCAAGAGAACGGCCACAATGTAATAATGCAGTTTAGGCACAATTTAGATTTTGGCCCCTAGATGGCAGCAGTGTGTGCAAAGTTTCAGATTGATCCAGTGAAGCGTTGCAATACTGGACTATTTTGTATCAAGTCTGCCCAAATGTGCCAAATTGGTCAATTGATACATTTTCAAGTGCATAACTATAGAGAACATAAAAAAATGATATGGTAAAACAAAATGTAAGTTTACACACTCCCAGGAATGTCATACATGATGGATCATTAGCTTATACACTAACTTTCACACATCTAGATGGCTGGGCGGGATGGGTGTGGAGCCAGAGACAGCAGCGGTTCAAACTGTAGAACCCAGTTCCAAACATTTGAATATAAACATTGATTTTATCAAACAAAACTATGCTACATTCTATCTCTGGGACCCTCAGGATGACAAATCAGAGCATGATTACATGAATGTAAGTACATTATTTACCTTCAGAGGTGAATGTATGAAACCAGTTGCCGTGATACGTTTTTTGTTGTTGTGCACTCTCCTCAAACAATAGCATGTCATTTTTTTCACTGTAATAGCTACTCTAAATTGGACAGTGCAGTTAGATTAACAAGAATTTAAGCTTTCTGCCCATATAAGACATGTCTATGTCCTGGAAAGTTTGCTGTTACTTACAACAGTCATGCTAATAACATTAGCGCACGTTAGCTCAACCGTCCCGTCTACGGGACACCGATCCCATAGAGGTTAAGACATGAAGGTCAGTCAATCCGGAAATTTCAAGAACTTTGAAAATTTCTTCAAGTGCAGTCGCAAAAACCATCAAGCGCGATGATGAAACTGGCTCTCATGAGGACAGCCACAGGAAAGGAAAACCCAGAGTTACCTCTGCTGCAGAGGATAAGTTCATTAGAGTTAACAGCACCTCAGATTGCAGCCCAAATAAATGCTTCACAGAGTTCAAGTAACAGACACATCAACATTAACTGTTCAGAGGAAACTGCGTGAATCAGGCCTTCATGGTCGAATTGCTGCAAAGAAACCACTACTAAAGGACACCAATAAGAAGAAGAGAATTGCTTGGGCCAAGAAACACGAGCAATGGACATTAGACCGGTTGAAATCTGTCCTTTGGTCTGATGAGTCCAAATTTTAGATTTTTGGTTCCAACCGCTGTGTCTTTGTGAGACGCAGAGTAGGTTAACGGATGATCTCTGCATGTGTGGTTCCCACCGTGAAGCATGGAGGAGGAGGTGTGATGGTGTGGGGGTGCTTTGCTGGTGACACTGTCAGTGATTTATTTCGAATTCAAGGCACACTTAACTAGCATGGCTAGAACAGCATTCTGCAGCGATACACCATCCCATCTGGTTTGCGCTTAGTGGGACTATCATTTGTTTTCAACAGGGCAATGACCCAAAACCCACCTCCAGGCTGTGTAAGGGCTATTTGACCAAGAAGGAGAGTGAAGGTGTGCTGCATCAGATGACCTGGCCTCCACAATCACCCGACCTCAACCCAATTGAGATGGTTTGGGATGAGTTGGACCGCAAAGTGAAGGAACAGCAGCCAACAAGTGTTCAGCATAAGAACTCCTTCAAGACTGTTGGAAAAGCATTCCTCATGAAGCTGGTTGAGAGAATGCCAAGAGTGTGCAAAGCTGTCATCAAGGAAAAGGGTGGCTATTTTGAAGAATCTAAAAAAATATATATATATTTTGATTTGTTTAACACTTTTTGGTTACTACATGATTCCATGTGTTATTTAATAGTTTTGATGTCTTCACTATTATTCTACAATGTAGAAAATAGTACAAATAAAGAAAAACCCTTGAATGAGTAGGTGTGTCCAAACTTTTGACTGGTACTGTATGTAAATGAGATATGTGTATTTCATTTTCAATAGTACTGAAAACATGTCTAAAAACATGTTTTCACTTTGTCAAATCTATTTAATCCATTTTTAATTCAGGCTGTAACACAACAAAATCTAGAATAAGTCAAGGAGTATGAATACTTTCTGAAGGCACTGTACCTGTCATGCCGTGGCTCTTCATGCGGCCCATCTTGTACTCAGCCTTGAGGGAGGGCAAAAGGGCTGCTCCTATGGTGATGCCGTCCATCATGGCGCTGAACTTGAGAACGATGGGCTTCTTCTCCAGGCCCTCTGGCAGCTGGGGGAACTCATTGGCCTCCACGGGAGTCTGGTTGATGCTGGACGCCTTGTCAGAGGGCTGAGGGGTGGGGGTGTCTTCCCTGTTGGGGGGTGACCTAAAGGAAAAAATAACAGTTCAGGATGAAGAAGTTTTGCTTAGTCCATGAAGGAAATTCTGAGGGAAAAAATGATGGTTTTCTCACTAAAATGCTTTCCTGTCATACTAGACACTTAAGTGAGGACCAAACTAAGCAAGCAGTTCTGCCTACCCTGCCCCAGTTCTTGGGCGGGGCTCACCTAGGAGATACCTACAGATTTCAATGGGACTCAAAGCATAAATAATACAATAACTTGTGAATAATACAACAATTTCCTCCCCTAGACTCACACGTTGGACGGCTGGCGGATGAGGTCGGAGATCTGCTTTGAGAGCTGATGGGAGCTGCGGACCATCATGCTGTGCAGCGTGGCAGGGTGCTGGGGGATGTTGATCATGATGGCGCCCACCTTGAACACAGCTGCGTTGTTGGTCTTCAGGCCGCGCTGGGCGCTGTAGAGGGCCTGGGACTTAGCTACGTTGCATTTCACAACCGTTCTGGAATTGGCAGAGCAGAGTGTCAGCGATTCTAATATGACTGTTTGACAACAGGTTAAGACAGGACAACATCTACAGAACAACAATGTACAAAAAAATTGTGTTTGGGTCATTTTTGTTAGACAGCAAGCATACTACACATTAAGAGGCATACAGTGAGGGAAAAAACTATTTGATCCCCTGCTGATTTTGTACGTTTGCCCACTGAAAAATACATGATCAGTCTATCATTTTAATGGTAGGTTTATTTGAACAGTGAGAGACAGTATAACATTAAAAAAATCCAGAAAAACTCATGTCCAAAATGTTATAAATTGATTTGCATTGTAATGAGGGAAATAAGTATTTGACCCCTCTGCAAAACATGACTTAGTACTTGGTGGCAAAACCATTGTTGGCAATCACAGAAGTCAGCCGTTTCTTGTAGTTGGCCACCAGGTTTGCACACATTTCAGGAGGGATTTTGTTCCACTCGTCTTTGCAGATCTTCTCTAAGTCATTAAGGTTTCGAGGCTGACGTTTGGCAACTCGAACCTTCAGCTCCCTCCACAGATTTTCTATGGGATTAAGGTCTGGAGACTGGCTAGGCCACTCCAGGACCTTAATGTGCTTCTTCTTAAGCCACTCCTTTGTTGCCTTGGCCGTGTTTTTTGGGTCATTGTCATGCTGGAATACCATCCACGACCCATTTTCAATGCCCTGGCTGAGGGAAGGAGGTTCTCACCCAAGATTTGATGGTACATGGCCCCGTCCATCGTCCCTTTGATGCGGTGAAGTTGTCCTGTCCCCTTAGCAGAAAAACACCCCCAAAGCATAATGTTTCCACCTCCATGTTTGACGGTGGGGATGGTGTTCTTGGGGTCATAGACAGCATTCCCCCTCCTCCAAACACGGCGAGCTGAGTTGATGCCAAAGAGCTCGATTTTGGTCTCATCTGACCACAACACTTACACCCAGTTCTCCTCTGAATCATTCAGATGTTCATTGGCAAACTTCAGACGGCCCTCTATACAGTGGGGAAAAAAAGTATTTAGTCAGCCACCAATTGTGCAAGTTCTCCCACTTAAAAAGATGAGAGAGGCCTGTAATTTTCATCATAGGTACACGTCAACTATGACAGACAAATTGAGAAAATAAAATCCTGAAAATCACATTGTAGGATTTTTTATGAATTTATTTGCAAATTATGGTGGAAAATAAGTATTTGGTCACCTACAAACAAGCAAGATTTCTGGCTCTCACAGACCTGTAACTTCTTCTTTAAGAGGCTCCTCTGTCCTCCACTCGTTACCTGTATTAATGGCACCTGTTTTAACTTGTTATCAGTATAAAAGACACCTGTCCACAACCTCAAACAGTCACACTCCAAACTCCACTATGGCCAAGACCAAAGAGCTGTCAAAGGACACCAGAAACAAAATTGTAGACCTGCACCAGGCTGGGAAGACTGAATCTGCAATAGGTAAGCAGCTTGGTTTGAAGAAATCAACTGTGGGAGCAATTATTAGGAAATGGAAGACATACAAGACCACTGATAATCTCCCTCGATCTGGGGCTCCACGCAAGATCTCACCCCGTGGGGTCAAAATGATCACAAGTATGGTGAGCAAAAATCCCAGAACCACACAGGGGGACCTAGTGAATGACCTGCAGAGAGCTGGGACCAAAGTAACAAAGCCTACCATCAGTAACACACTACGCCGCCAGGGACTCAAATCCTGCAGTGCAAGACGTGTCCCCCTGCTTAAGCCAGTACATGTCCAGGCCCGTCTGAAGTTTGCTAGAGTGCATTTGGATGATCCAGAAGAGGATTGGGAGAATGTCATATGGTCAGATGAAACCAAAATAGAACTTTTTGGTAAAAACTCAACTCGTCGTGTTTGGAGGACAAAGAATGCTGAGTTGCATCCAAAGAACACCATACCTACTGTGAAGCATGGGGGTGGAAACATCATGCTTTGGGGCTGTTTTTCTGCAAAGGGACCAGGACGACTGATCCGTGTAAAGGAAAGAATGAATGGGGCCATGTATCATGAGATTTTGAGTGAAAACCTTCCATCAGCAAGGGCATTGAAGATGAAACGTGGCTGGGTCTTTCAGCATGACAATGATCCCAAACACACCGCCCGGGCAACGAAGGAGTGGCTTCGTAAGAAGCATTTCAAGGTTCCTGGAGTGGCCTAGCCAGTCTCCAGATCTCAACCCCATAGAAAATCTTTGGAGGGAGTTGAAAGTCTGTGTTGCCCAGCGACAGCCCCAAAACATCACTGCTCTAGAGGAGATCTGCATGGAGGAATGGGCCAAAATACCAGCAACAGTGTGTGAAGACTTACAGAAAATGTTTGACCTGTGTCATTGCCAACAAAGGGTATATAACAAAGTATTGAGAAACTTTTGTTATTGACCAAATACTTATTTTCCACCATAATTTGCAAATAAATTAATTAAAAATCCTACAATGTGATTTTCTGGATTTTTTTTTCTCATTTTGTCTGTCATAGTTGACGTGTACCTATGATGAAAATTACAGGCCTCTCTCATCTTTTTAAGTGGGAGAACTTGCACAATTGGTGGCTGACTAAATACTTTTTTTCCCCACTGTATGTGCTTTCTTGAGCAGGGGGACATTGCGGGTGCTGCAGGATTTCAGTCCTTCACGGCGTAGTGTGTTACCAATTGTTTTCTTGGTGACTATGGTCCCAGTTGCCTTGAGATCATTGACAAGATCCTCCCGTGTAGTTCTGGGCTGATTCCTCACTGTTCTCATGATCATTGCAACTCCACGAGGTGAGATCTTGCATGGAGCCCCAGGGAGATTGACAGTTCTTTTGTGTTTCTTCCATTTGCGAAATATCGCACCAACTGTCGTCACCTTCTCACCAAGCTGCTTGGCGATGGTCTTGTAGCCCATTCCAGCCTTGTGTAGGTCTACAATCTTGTCCCTGACATCCTTGGAGAGCTCTTTGGTCTTGGCCATGGTGGAGAGTTTGGAATCTGATTGATTGATTGCTTCTGTGGACAGGTGTTTTTTATACAGGTAACAAACTGAGATTAGGAGCACTCCCTTTAAGAGTGTGCTCCTAATCTCAGCTCGTTACCTGTATAAAAGACACCTGGGAGTCAGAAATCTTTCTGATTGAGAGGGGGTCAAATACTTATTTCCCTCATTAAAATGCAAATCAATTTATAACATTTTTGACATTCGTTTTTCTGGATTAGTTTTTTGTTATTCTGTCTCTCACTGTTCAAATAAACCTACCATTCAAATTATAGACTGATCATGTCTTTGTCAGTGGGCAAATGTACAAAATCAGCAGGGGATCAAATACTTTTTTCCCTCACTGTATAACGACATCCATGTTATGGGGGCATAAGAATTACAGGGTTCTATACGCTCTTCCATTACGTTGCCAAAAAATCAACAACAATAAATTATGATCACGATTACAGGATGAATCGCTGTGATATGGCTGATCTATAAAAGATATTCTACCCGCCATACACATGAAGGAAGGAACACAGAAACAGAGGAGAAAAGGAGAGTGGGGGATTATCAATTTAACACGATGAAGGACAGTAACATAGTTAGAGCTGTACACTGACGAAACACTGGGGTACCACAGACTCCAGACAAAATGAAAGCGGTGTTTTAGCTAGGTACTACTGTGGCATTGCTATGATGTGCCAAGGTGCAGTAGTTATGAACACATACAGAAACTCTTGTTTGGCTGTGCTGGTAGGAGATGTAGGGAAATCCTCCAGTCTATGTAAGACGATGTAAGAGAAAGCAGGGAAAGTTTAAAAAAAAGAGAGCAAATGAGAAATTGAGTATTCACGCAGAGATACAGTATATCGAGACAATAGACTAGATTAGAATATCTGTCCACCTTCCTTCGCCTGCCAAAAGTCTTTCCAGTGATGCCAGCAGAATTTTGCAGTCATTTGAATATTTCTAGGAATTGATTACTGTGAAGTAACTGTAGGAATAACTCACACAGTATGTTGACATGCAATCAATGGCATAGTGGGGTAGGAAATTAAAGCGTTCCATATAATTCATTTTACAGGTTATCAAAATGACAGGCAAACGAACTAGAAAGGTTATTTTAGGTCTTCCAATTCACAGAGACCTAATGCACACTATCAAACCTCAATACAAAATGCAAAGGAAGCAACTATCTGCCTAAATTTGAGCAGTACTTACTGAATGTCTGGTGTTATACCCTCCAGGAGCACAATGTTTACTCCTCCTATGTGGGCTGATGCACAAGTCTCTGTCATCTTCTGGTGCAGTATGTCTGAAAACAGATTATGGAGTTATAATACAGATATGGTACTGCACAATGTAATAAAAATAAGCAGTGTATTGAACTAGTGACGTAAACCAAGAGCTAAGAGCTAGTGGTGCGTAGGTCAGCTGTTTGTTCACCCGCACCTGCCCGCAATTGCTAATAACTGATCCGCAACCGCCCGACTATATGTGATAAAGTGAAAATCTGAGGCCCGCACCCAACCCTAGAAAATGCTCTGTAGGCTAGAGACAGCGGAACGATTACTGACAGGGGGTGCATGATATTATTTGCCTGATTTAGATATGTTTCTGCTTATAATTTCTGACATTTTGGTAGACTATTTGTTAGTCAACTTATCTATAATTAGATACATACAGCTTCTCTTCTGTCATTATATGTTGCCCTAAAATACTAAATAAACCCTTGCTCACCAGAATAATGTGATGCAGTGGTCTAAGGCACTGCATCGCAGTGCTAACTGTGCCACTAGAGATCCTGGTTCGAATCCAGGCTCTGTCGCCGCCGGCCGCGACCGGGAGACTCATGGGCGGCGCACAATTGGCCCAGCGTCGTCCAGGGTAGGGGAGGGAATGGCCGGCAGGGATGTAGCTCAGTTGATAGAGCATGGCGTTTGCAACGCCAGGGTTGTGGGTTCGATTCCCACGGGGGGCCAGTATAAAAAAAATATGTATTCACTAACTGTAAGTCGCTCTGGATAAGAGCGTCTGCTAAATGACTAAAATGTAAAATGTAAATCGGTGGAATGAATGCTTCAATTTTGTTGACATCAGTCAAGTTCTCTGGCATCTCTGCTTCTTTCGAGGGGCAAAGACGTTCAGGGACCGAGGAGAAAATGCAATAACAAAAAAAAAAAAAAAATCTAACTGCGCATTTCCATTCTCTCACGATGCTGAAAGAAAGATATCATATTTCTCCAGACTTGTTCCCGAGTCCAAATTTATTTTACTGCAAGAAATGCATAATTCTGCAGGAGTTAACATTAAGGCTATGCGAGAGGTTATAGACCTACAGTCACTGTCCAGATTTCCGTTTCCATTTAACCCATCTGAACAGAAGGTTACAGTTCCCTTGACGTGCCATAGGCCTATTTGAAGTCCGTCTTGTGACTGTCGAATTTGTATAGCGTCTCACAATCTTCACACATAACATATCTGGCACTGCTATCATCCTCTTTTACCACTTCAACAAATATTTTCCAAACATTACTTTTCTGACCCTCCCTTCTCTTTATTTTAATCTCTCCATTTCGCAGCTTTTCTCTTATTAAATTAAACTCTGACATTGTCCTTTTTCCCTCTGTGGATCGACATTAACTTTTTTTGCCCGTTCCTAAAAGCATTTGGTGATTGGCGTGTAGGCTATTTGGCACGTGTACAGTGTGTCAGATAGCCTAAAATAATTAAAGAAAAACCTAAATGAGACATTTATTGATGTTTTCAGGTAGGCTATTGTTTTCTCTTTATTCAACCCTCCCGTCACCCACTTGCCCTTCATCCACACAATTTTTAATAACCCTAAACCCGCCCGCCCACGGATATAAACGCATGGACTGCAGGTTATGAGTCAACCTACGCATCACTACTAAGAGCCTCACCCTTCATCTTTTCCTTGAGTGTGAAGCTGCCGTGGATCTTCTTCAGCTCTGCCTCCATGGTCAGGCCTCCAATGTCTGCCTCCAGGTGGGTGCGGTTCACCATGCCGATGCCAAACACGATGAGGGTGACGTGCTGTGGCTCAGAACTCATCAGGCTGCGCCGTCTGCCCCCAGCACCGAGCCCAGACGGAGGCTTGTTAGTGGGGGTGGTGGGGTCCTGCTGCTCGTTCTCAAAGATCATCCTGCACAGGGGCTCCGAGGGACTGCGGCCACCGTCTGCACAGATCACACACAAAGTAGCAATGAGTGTGTGCTTGCCTACTAATCATTTATATTTCTAAGTGCCTAGGGGGCAGGGGCAAGAGATGGCTGAGTGGAGGGGGAGATCCTTACCCGAGAGGCAGTTCTCAGGGGAGCTCTTCTCCAGGATACCCGTTGGGTCAGAGATGAGGGAGTAGAAGTTGAGCAGCTTGTACATATTCTGCCAGCACTCTGCAGAGGGCTCGCTCTGCTCTGACACTGTGATGGAGTCGGAGTCATCCATTTGGATGGCCGTGTGGTCAGCCACGTCCCGAGAGCCCTTCCGCGACACCTTAATCAATTGATTGATTGCATTTATTAGATATCAATAGAAACAGAGCATACATCATCTGATAGATCACTGAGAAATATATACTGAACAAAAATATAAACGCAACATGTAAAGTGTTGGTCCAAAGATTAATGAGCTGACATAAAAGATCACAGAAATGTTCCATACACAGAAAAAACGTATTTCTCTCAAACTTTGTGCACAAATTTGTTTACATCCCTGTTAGTAACCATTTCTCCTTTGCTAAGATAATCCATCCACCTGACAGGTATGGCATATCAAGAAGCTGATTAAACAGCATGATCATTACACAGGTGCACCTTGTGCTGGGGACAATAAAAGGCCACTCTAAAATCAAAACAAATGTTATTGGTCACATACACATATTTAGCAGATGTTATTGCTGGTGTAGCGTAATGCGTGTGTTCCTAGCTCCAACAGTGCAATAGTATCTAATAATTCACAACAATACACAAACCTAAAAGTAAAAGAATGGAATTAAGAAATATATAGATATTAGGACGAGCAATGTCGGAGTGGCATTGACAAAAATACAGTAGAATAGAATACAGTATATACATATGAGATGAGTAAAGCAGTATGTAAACATTATTAAAGTGACTAGTGTTCCATTATTAAAGTGGCCAGTGATTCATGTCTATGTATATATATATATATAGGGCAGCAGCCTCTAAGGTGCAGGGTTGAGTAGCCGGGTGGTAGCCGGCTAGTGATGACTATTTAACAGTCTGATGGCCTTGAGATAGAAGCTGTTTTTCAGTCTCTCGTCACAGCTTTGATGCACCTGTACTGACCTCGCCTTCTGGATGAACAGGCCGTGGCTCGGGTGGTTGATGTCCTTGATGATCTTTTTGGCCTTCCTGTGACGTCGGGTGCTATAGGTGTCCTGAAGGGCTGGCAGTGTGCCCCCGGTGATGCGTTGGGCAGACTGTACCACCCTTTGGAGAGCCCTGTGGTTGTGGGCAGTGTAGTTGCCGTACCAGGTGGTATTACAGTCCAACAAGAAGCTCTCAATTGTGCATCTATAGAAGTTTGAGGGTCTTAGGGGCCAAGCCGAATTTCTTCAGCCTCCTGAGGTTGTAGAGGCGCTGTTGCGCCTTCTTCACCACACTGCCTGTATGGGTGGACCATTTCAGATTGTCAGTGATGTGTACGCCGAAGAACTTGAAGCTTTCCACCTTCTCCACTGCAGTCCCGTCGATGTGGATAGGGGCGTGCTCCCACTGCTGTTTACTGAAGTCCACGATCAGCTCCTTCGTTTTGTTGACGTTGAGGTTATTTTCCTGACACCACTCCGTCAGGGCCTTCATCTCCTCCCTGTAGGCTGTCTCGTCACTGTTGGTAATCAGGCCTACTACTCTTATGTTGTCTGCAAACTTGATGATTGAGTTAGAGGCGTGCACAGTCATGTGTGAACAGGGAGTACAGGAGGGGGCTGAGCACGCACCCTTGTGGGGCCCCCTGTGTTGAGGATCAGCGAAGTGGAGGTGTTGTTTCCTACCTTCACCACCTGGGGGCGGTCCGTCAGGAAGTCCAGGACCCAGTTGCACAGGGCGGGGTTCAGACCCAGGGCCCCGAGCTTAATGATGAGCTTGGTGGGTACTATGGTGTTGAACGCTGAGCTATAGTCTATGAACAGCATTCTGACTTAGGTATTCCTCTTGTTCAGATGGGATAGGGAAGTGTGTAGTGCGATGGCGATTGCATCGTCTGTGGATCTATTGGGGCGGTAAGCAAATTGAAGTGGGTCTAGGGTGTCAGGTAAGGTAGAGGTGATATGATCCTCTCAAAGCACTTTATGACAGAGGTGAGTGCTACGGGGCGATAGTAATTTAGTTCAGTTACCTTTGCTTTCTTGGGTACAGGAACAATGGTGGACATCTTGAAGCAAGTAGGGACAGCAGACTGGGATAGGGAGAGATTGAATATGTCCGTAAACACTCCAGCCAGCTGGTCTGCGCATGCTCTGAGGACACGGCTAGGGATGCCGTCTGGGCCGGCATCCTCACAAGGGTTAACACGCTTAAATGTCTTACTCATGTTGGCCACGGAGAACGAAAGCCTACAGGCCTTGGGAGCGGGCCGCGTTGGTGGCACTGATTTATCCTCAAAGTGGGCGAAGAAGGTGTTTAGCTTGTCTGGGAGCAAGACATCGGTGTCTGCGACATGGCTGGTTTTCCCTTTGTAATCCGTTGTTGTCTGCCACATACGTCTCGTGTCTGAGCCGTTGAATTGCGACTCCACTTTGTCTCTGTACTGACGTTTTGCCTGTTTGATTGCTTTACGGTGGGAATAACTACACTGTTTGTGTTCAACCATATTCCCAGTCACCTTGGTGAAATGTGGTGGTTTGTGCTTTCAGTTCTGCGTGAATGCTGTCATCTATCCATGGTTTCTGGTTTGGGTAGGTTTAAATAGTCACCGTGGGAACAACATCCCCTATACACTTCCTGATGAACTCAGTCACTGTGTCCGTGTAAACATCAATGTTATTCTCAGAGGCTACCCAGAACATATCCCAGTCCGCGTGATCAAAACAATCTTGAAGCATGGATTCTGATTGGTCAGACCTGCGTTGAATAGACCTTAGAGCGGGTACTTCCTGTTTGAATTTCTACCTATAGGAAGGGAGGAGCTAAATGAAGTCGTGATCTGATTTGCCAAAGGGAGGGCGGGGGAGGGCCTTGTAGGCATCTCGAAATGGCGAGTAGCAGTGGTCTAGTGTTTTTCCTAAGCGAGTACTGCAGTCAATGTGTTGATAGAACTTCGGTAGCGTTTTCCTCAAATTGGCTTTGTTAAAATCCCCAGCTACAATAAATGCGGCCTCAGGATATGTGGTTTCCAGTTTGCATAAAGTCCAGTGTAGTTCCTTGAGGGCCATCGTGGTATCGGCTTGAGGGGGAATATACACGGCTGTGACTATAACCGAAGATAATTATCTTGGGAGGTAATACGGTCTGCATTTGATTGTGAGGTATTCTAGGGCGGGTGAACAAAAGGACTTGAGTTTCTGTATTTTATCACAATCACACCATGTGTAGTTAATCATGAAAACTACACCCACGCATTTCTTCTTCCCGGAGAGTTCTTTATTCCTGAACTGAGAACCCAGCTGGCTGTACAGACAGGGACAGTATACCCCGAGAGAGCCATGATTCCATGAAACAGAGTATGTTACAGTCCTCGCCCTGAGCTCGTCTACTTTATTGTCCAGAGACTGAACATTAGCGAGTAATATACTCGGAAGCGGTGGATGGTGTGCCCGCCTCCTGAGTCGGACTAGAAGTCCACTCCGAATACCTATTCTTTGCCGGCGGTGTCTTGGAGCAGCCTCTGGGATAAGTTCAATTGCCCTGGGGGGTACGAACAAAGGATCCAATTCGGGAAAGTCGTATTCTTGGTTGTAATGCTGGTGGGTTACCGCCGCACTGATATCCAAAAGTTATTTCCGGCTGTATGTAATAACACAAAAAACGTTCTAGGCTAATAATGTAAGAAATAACACACAAAAAAACAAAATACTGCAAAGTTGCTTAGGAAGCAGAGATGCAGAGATGCCATGTCTGTCGGCGCCATCATCTCATTGTATTGTTTTGTCACACAATACAATGCCAATGCCACAGATTGCCACAGACGTCTCAACTTTTGAGGTAGCATGCAATTGGCATGCTGACTGCAGGAATGTCCAACAGAGCTGTTGCCAGAGAATTGAATGTTCATTTCTCTACCATAAGACACCTCCAACGTCGTTTTAGAGTACGTCCAACCGGCCTCACAACCTCAGACCACATGTAAGCACACGCTAGCCCAGGACCTCCACATCCGGCTTCTTCACCTGCGGGATCGTCTGAGACCAGCCACCTGGACAGCTGATGAAACTGTGGGTTTGCACAACCGAAGAATTTGCTTGTCGTCCTTACCAGGGTCTTGACCTGACTGCAGTTCGGCGTCGTAACCGACTTCAGCGGGCAAATGCTCACCTTCGATGGCCATTGGCACGCTGGAGAAGTGTGCTCTTCACGGATGAATCCCGATTTCAACTGTACCGGGCAGATGGCAGACAGAGTGTATGGCGTCGTATGGGCGAGCGATTTGCTGATGTCAACGTTGTGAACAGAGTGCCCCATGGTGTCGATGGGATTATGGGCAGGCATAAACTACGGACAATGAACACAATTGCATTTTATTGATGGCAATTTGAATGCACAGAGATACCGTGACGAGATCCTGAGGCCCATTGTTGTGCCATTCATCCGCCATCACCTTATGTTTCAGCATGATAATGCACGGCCCCACGTCGCAAGGATACACAAAAATATTTAAAACAAAATAAATACAAAAATTACGATTTCTGGAAGCTGAAAATGTCCCAGTTCTTCCATTGAGTATGTTTGGGATTCTCTGGAACGACAGCGTGTTCTAGTTACATTTACATTTTAGTCATTTAGCAGACGCTCTTATCCAGAGCGACTTACAGTTAAGTGAGCGCATACATTTTCATACCGCCAATATCCAGCAACTTTGCACAGCCATTGAAGAGGAGTGGGCCAACATTCCACCTGCCACAATCAACAGCCTGATCAACTTTATGCGCTGCAGATACTGACTGGTTTCTTGATCCACGCCCCTACTTTTTTTTTTAAAGGTATCTGTGACCAACAGATGCATATCTGTATTTCCAGTCATGTGAAATCAATAGATTAGGGACAAATTAATTTATTTCAATTGACTGATTTCCCTATATGAAATGTAACTCAGTAAAATCTTTGAAATTGTTGCATGTTGCATTTATATTTTTGTTCAGTGTACATTCAACATACAGTATATCTACAGTGAGGGAAAAAAGTATTTGATCCCCTGCTGATTTTGTACGTTTGCCCACTGACAAAGAAATGATCAGTCTATAATTTTAATGGTATTTGAACAGTGAGAGACAGAATAACAACAAAAAATCCAGAAAAACGCATGTCAAAACTGTTATAAATTGATTTGCATTTTAATGAGGGAAATAAGTATTTGACCCCCTCTCAAGCAGAAAGATTTCTGGCTCCCAAGTGTATTTTATACAGGTAACGAGCTGAGATTAGGAGCACACTCTTAAAGGGAGTGCTCCTAATCTCAGCTTGTTACCTGTATAAAAGACACCTGTCCACAGAAGCAATCAATCAATCAATCAATCAGATTCCAAACTCTCCACCATGGCCAAGACCAAAGAGCTCTCCAAGGATGTCAGGGACAAGATTGTAGACCTACACAAGGCTGGAATGGGCTACAAGACCATCGCCAAGCAGCTTGGTGAGAAGGTGACAACAGTTGGTGCGATTATTCGCAAATGGAAGAAACACAAAAGACCTGTCAATCTCCCTCGGCCTGGGGCTCCATGCAAGATCTCACCTCGTGGAGTTGCAATGATCATGAGCCCAGAACTACACGGGAGGATCTTGTCAATGATCTCAAGGCAGCTGGGACCATAGTCACCAAGAAAACAATTGGTAACACACTACGCCGTGAAGGACTGAAATCCTGCAGCGCCCGCAAGGTCCCCCTGCTCAAGAAAGCACATATATAGGCCCGTCTGAAGTTTGCCAATGAACATCTGAATGATTCAGAGGAGAACTGGGTGAAAGTGTTGTGGTCTAATGAGACCAAAATCGAGCTCTTTGGCATCAACTCAACTCGCCGTGTTTGGAGGAGGAGGAATGCTGCCTATGACCCCAAGAACACCATCCCCACAGTCAAACATGGAGGTGGAAACATTATGCTTTGGGGGTGTTTTTCTGCTAAGGGGACAGGACAACTTCACTGCATCAAAGGGACAATGGACGGGGCCATGTACCGTCAAATCTTGGGTGAGAACCTCATTCCCTCAGCCAGGGCATTGAAAATGGGTTGTGGATGGGTATTCCAGCATGACAATGACCCAAAACACACGGCCAAGGCAACAATGGAGTGGCTCAAGAAGAAGCACATTAAGGTCCTGGAGTGGCCTAGCCAGTCTCCAGACCTTAATCCCATAGAAAATCTGTGGAGGGAGCTGAAGGTTCAAGTTGCCAAACGTCAGCCTCGAAACCTTAATGACTTGGAGAAGATCTGCAAAGAGGAGTGGGACAAAATCCCTCCTGAGATGTGTGCAAACCTGGTGGCCAACTACAAGAAACGTCTGACCTCTGTGATTGCCAACAAGGGTTTTGCCACCAAGTACTAAGTCATGTTTTGCAGAGGGGTCAAATACTTATTTCCCTCATTAAAATGCAAATAAATTTATAACATTTTTGACATGCGTTTTTCTGGATTTTTTTGTTGTTATTCTGTCTCTCACTGTTCAAATAAACCTACCATTCAAATTATAGACTGATCATGTCTTTGTCAGTGGGCAAACGTACAAAATCAGCAGGGGATCAAATACTTTTTTCCCTCACTGTATATGATCATTCTAAAATGAAGACACATACTGGTTGATGTACCTTGGAGGTCCGGCGCTCCGAGCGACCCAGCGTGTTGCGTCCCCGGGGCTCCCTCCTACCCAGTGTATCCAGTCCTGAAGGGGGGCCGTTGGGTGGCTGACCCCCTACTCCACCTCGCTTGCTCCTTTGAGCCGTGTTCCCGCTGCCGCCAGCCCCACTCCGCCCGGCTCCGTTGATGCTTCCCCGCGAGCTGCGGCTGAAGTCAGAGGAGCGAAAGTGTCGGTAGGGCCTTGCCTTGAAGGTGGGCGTGGGGGAGGCGGAGCCGGCGGTGTAGCGACTCAGCTTGATGTCTGTCTGCGTGGCCTTGATGTCGTCCACCATGGTACTGAACTGGTGGATGAGGCGCACCAGGGCCATGTCCACGCGCTGGCTGATGGCCTGGCAGGCGATGGTGAAGTCGCAGTGGAAGGTGTTGTAGTGGCGCCGGTTGAGGTCGTGGAAGGCGAGGGGAGCGGCCGTGGAGTTGGGCGGGCCAGTGCTGGTAGACTTCTCCATCAACACAGAGTTTAGACTGAAGGTCTCGATCAGCAGGGCCGGTTTGAACTCCAGCGGAGGGAGGTTAGGCATGCCCTGTCTGCAGGGAGAGACGGAGAGGGGTAGAGAGCGAGATTACTTATGAGTGGTAGATAATGGGACAAATAATAACCAGGCATACAGTATCTTTATTTAGATACAAGGTTTATTTACCTTTTGGAGCGTTTGTTCTTCCGCTCCTTGGACGTGTCTGAGTCCACAATGTCTGCTCTGAGACACTCCAAGGTGCCGGAGAAGGAGAGATGCTCTCCAAAATACATCTTGTAGCTGAGAGGAGTGGTGTCCTGGGCTTGGATTCCTGTGTGACTCAGCAGAGGCTTGAACACAACCTGTGTGAAGTGAGGAAAGGGAGAGGGAATCTTTAGAATTATCACACACAAACACACACACAGTCTCAACAGGTTACCTGTGCGTCAGCGAGCTGCACGGCGGCGGGACACTGGTTGCCCTCCTCGATGTCGGCCATCTTTATGTCGTCCTGGCTGGTACTGTGCTGAGACTGTGTTCCATCAAGAGTGTTTTGGTCGCTGGACAGCACCGTGTTGAAGTCTGATGCTGACGGGATGGTTTGGAGGTTACAGGTGACGCCTGAGGAGCAATGGGAAACAGACACTTAGGGTGACCTTTTTTGACATTCTTCTACCGTGAGCTTTTGGGGTTGGTTACATCACCAACATTCCCCCCCAACATTCACAGAAGATTCCCACAACATTCCCCCTACCTGTCTGCAGGCTGTTGTGCTGGGAGCGGTTGATGGGGGACTCCTGGGGTACAGTGTTCCCTCCGCCCCGGTTGCCCACAGCGTTGGACATCCAGTTGTAGAAGCTGACGGAAGAGGGCTCTGACAGCAGTGGGTGCTCCGTCAATACATCTGGGCCCACACTGTTACCTAAAAGGGGGAGCAAACAATGTAATGTTGCAGTCCAATTCTCTACCAATTCTCTATCATTGTGGCTCGAAAAGGAATGGAACTAGTATAAAAATATGGTGGAAATTCCCTATAAGCCATGCTTTATGACAATGTTCACACTTTGGGGACGAGGGTATGGAATTGGAAGGCAACCCAAGTCTGAACCAGGTGTGGGCAACCCTGGTCTATCCCATGGTAACGTTCTAAGGACAATGTCAGCGTACCTGTGCTCTTGGTGGCGGGCTCATTCCTCTGGGGTGTGCTCTCCAGCAGGTTGTGCAGGCTGGGGAAGCTGCCTGTCAGGTAGCTCAGCAGACTCTCCTTACGGGGACTGTCCTTGGCAGGCATGCCCACGCGACTCACATGGGCAGGGGAGTCAGCCGCCGTGTCCCCACTGGTGTAGCTCAGGGACTGGTATGGGTGGGAGCCCTGAAGAAGACACACACCCATATCATTAGTGTGAAAACAAATGCATTCCTATTGTATAGTAATGGAAAGTGGTACTGCCCTGTCGTCCCTGTCCACCCATATACAGTGAGGGAAAAAAGTATTTGATCCCCTGCTGATTTTGTACATTTGCCCACTGACAAAGAAATGATCAGTCTATAACTTTAATGGTAAGTTTATTTGAACAGTGAGAGACAGAATAACAACAAAAAAATCCAGAAAAACGCATGTCAAAAATGTTATAAATTGATTTGCAGGGAAATAAGTATTTGACCCCCTGTCACGAGAATTTATATCTCTTAATTAAACTCAAGCTTGAATAATTCCCAGAGGTTGTAATGCTCTGGTTTTAATCATGAATTAAACAAGGTCCACAAACAGCAAGAATAATCTGTATGTTTATTCATGAGAGCTCTAGCGCCAAAAAACTCACACAGCCTTTTTATATCCCTTCACACAAAGGAACTTTTCTCCGCCCACCTTTAGGCGGCCTGTACATTTCCACAGTATAGAATGATTAACCAGTTTCCCCTCCCTCCTGGAATGTTTGTCTCAGCAGTTTCTAACTCCCCTGCCTCGGTTAGTGGGTTTATACTACATTATAACCCTAAAACCGTTACACAGTTATCATCAGTATCGGGGTGGAACAATTTTTGTCATTTACCATAATTCCTCTATCACCCCTTCTCAATCAGAAAGATTTCTGGCTCCCAGGTGTCTTTTATACAGGTATCGAGCTGAGATTAGGCGAACACTCTTAAAGGGAGTGCTCCTAATCTCCGCTTGTTACCTGTATAAAAGACACCTGTCCACAGAAGCAATCAATCAATCAGATTCCAAACTCTCCACCATGGCCAAGACCAAAGAGCTCTCCAAGGATGTCAGGGACAAGATTGTAGACCTACACAAGGCTGGAATGGGCTACAAGACCATCGTCAAGCAGCTTGGTGAGAAGGTGACAACAGTTGGTGCGATTATTCGCAAATGGAAGAAACACAAAAGACCTGTCAATCTTCTCGGCCTGGGGCGCCATGCAAGATATCACCTCGTGGAGTTGCAATGATCATGAGAACGGTGAGGAATCAGCCCAGAATTACACGGGAGGATCTTGTCAATGATCTCAAGGCAGCTGGGACCATAGTCACCAAGAAAACAATTGGTAACACACTACGCCGTGAAGGACTGAAATCCTGCAGTGCCCGCAAGGTCCCCCTGCTCAAGAAAGCACATATACAGGGCCGTCTGAAGTTTGCCAATGAACATCTGACTGATTCAGAGGAGAACTGGGTGAAAGTGTTGTGGTCAGATGAGACCAAAATCGAGCTCTTTGGCATCAACTCAACTCGCCGTGTTTGGAGGAGGAGGAGGAATGCTGCCTATGACCCCAAGAACACCATCCCCACCGTCAAATATGGAGGTGGAAACATTATGCTTTGGGGGTGTTTTTCTGCTAAGGGGACAGGACAACTTCACCGCATCAAAGGGACGATGGACGGGGCCATGTAACGTCAAATCTTGGGTGAGAACCTCCTTCCCTCAGCCAGGGCATTGAAAATGGGTCGTGGATGGGTATTCCAGCATGACAATGACCCAAAACACACGGCCAAGGCAACAAAGGAGTGGCTCAAGAAGAAGCACATTAAGGTCCTGGAGTGGCCTAGCCAGTCTCCAGACCTTAATCCCATAGAAAATCTGTGGAGGGAGCTGAAGGTTTGAGTTGCCAAATGTCAGCCTTGAAACCTTAATGAAATGGAGAAGATCTGCAAAGAGGAGTGGAACAAAATCCCTCCTGAGATGTGTGCAAACCTGGTGGCCAACTACAAGAAACGTCTGACCTCTGTGATTGCCAACAAGGGTTTTGCCACCAAGTACTATGTCATGTTTTGCAGAGGGGTCAAATACTTATTTCCCTCATTAAAATGCAAATCAATTAATAAAAATGTTGACATGCGTTTTTCTAGATTTTTTAAATGTGTATTCTGTCTCTCACTGTTCAAATAAACCTACCATTACAATTATAGACTGATCATGTCTTTGTCAGTGGGCAAACGTACAGCAGGGGATCAAATACTTTTTTCCCCTCACTGAACAAAAATATAAACGCAACATGTAAAGTGTTGGTCCCATGTTTCATGAGCTGAAATAAAAGATACCAAATATTTTCCATAGGCACAAAAAGCCTATTTCTCTCCAAATTAGTGCACAAATTTGTTTACATCCCTGTTAGTGAGCATTTCCCCTTTACGTGCAACCGGCCTCACAACCGCAGACCACGTTTAAGCACGCCAGCCCCTCCACACCTGAGGGACCGTCTGAGACCAGCCACCTGGACAGCTGATGAAACTGAGGAGTCTGTCAGTAGTAAAGCCCTTTTGTGGGGGAAAAACATTCTGATTGGCTGGGCCTGGCAGCCATGCCCCTGCCCAGTCATGTGAAATCCATAGATTAGGGCCTAATGTATTAATTTAAATTGACTGATTTCCTTATATGAACTGTATCTCAGTAAAATCGTTTAAATTGTTACATGTTGCATTTATATTTGTGTTCAGTATAATTATAAAGCACCAAAGTTGAAGTAGACAACGCAGACAGACAGGTGGATACACAGTTAAAAGACACACCTTTACCTTTATTTTGAGGGCAGATTCACTGTGTGTGTGGGACTTGGACAGCTTCCTCATGATCTCCACCCCGCTGACTGGTCCAGATTTGTCTCCTGTGGGCGGGGGGCGGCTGCATGCCCCCTCCAGCAGCATGGTGTGTTCACTCACTGTGGCTAGACAGCATTTACAACATGATATAACCCATTGGACCAACATCCTGCATGCATGATCATCATCAAATTCATTAATATGTGGGGGGACTTCTCAGTACAATTGTTTTGATAAAGTCTCTCTGTCATGTATTAATTTACCAGAAAATTCCAAAAATAAACCTCTGGGGAAAAGTTCCTACCTGCGTCAAACTCGAACTCGGCCCCATCAGCGCTGGTGTCACTCTGCAGCGCAGCTCCGTTGTCCAGGCCCTGGACCTGGTAGGTCTGCTGCACGGGGGTCTCCTTGGGTTTGGGCAGCTGGTTGGGCCTCATCAGGCCGATGGCCTTGAAGCCCTGGGTCACCACAATAAACTTCATCCACTGCCGGGCCAGAGCCACCAGCCCCTTCTTCAGGGTCACCAGGGCAGGCAGCCCATCATTCTAATGAGGACAAGATGAGATGGGTTAAATGGCTAAAAAGGAGTTCACTTAGGGTAGATCACGCTCTCCGTAGCCAATGTGAGTAAGACCTTTAAACAGGTCAATATTCACAAGGCCGCAGGCCCAGACGGATTACCAGGACGTGTACTCCGAGCATGCGCTGATCAACTGGCAAGTGCCCTCAAAGCTCATCACTAAGCTAAAGACCCTGGGACTAAACACCTCCCTCTGCAACTGGATCCTGGACTTCCTGACTGGCCGCCCCCAGGTGGTAAGGGTAGGTAACAACACATCCGCCACGCTGATCCTCAACACGGGGGCCCATCAGGGGTGCCTGCTCAGTCCCCTCCTGTACTCCCTGTTCACTCATGACTGAATATAGCTATGATCCCCCTTATATCATCAGCCATTAAGTTGGCCGATGACACAACAGTGGTATGCCTGATCATCGACAACGACGAGACAGCCTATAGGGAGGAGGTCAGAGACCTGGCCGTGTGGTGCCAGGACAACAACCTCTCCCTCAACGTGATCAAGACAAAGGAGATGATTGTGGACTACAGGAAAAAGAAGAGGACCGAGCACGCCCCCATTCTCATCGACGGGGCTGTAGTGGAGCAGGTTGAGAGCGTCAAGTTCCTTGGTGTCCACATCACCAACAAACTAACATGGTCCAAGCACACCAAGACAGTCGTGAAGAGGACACAACAAAACCTATTTCCCCTAAGGAGACTGAAAAGATTTGGCATGGGTCCTCAGATTCTCAAAAGGTTCTACAGCTGCACCATCGAGAGCATCCTGACTGGTTGCATCACTGCCAGGTATGGCAAATGCTCGGTCTCCGACCGCAAGGCACTTCAGAGGGTAGTGCATACGGCCCTGTACATCACTGGGGCCAAGCTTCCTGCCATCCAGGACCTCTATACCAGGCGGTGTCAGAGGAAGGCCCTAAAAATTGTCAAAGACTCCAGCCACCCTAGTCATAGACTGTTCTCTCTGCTATCGTACGGCAAGCGGTACCGGAGCGCCAAGTCTAGGTCCAAGAGGCTTCTAAACAGCTTCTACCCACAAGCCATAAGACTCCTGAACATCTAATGAAATGGCTACCCAGACTATTTGCATTGCCCCCCCCCCCCCCTCCCCTCCCCCTTTTACGCTGCTGCTACTCTGTTTATTATCTATGCATAGACACTTTAATAACTCTACCTACATGTACATATTACCTCAATTACCTTGACTAACCGGCGACCCGCACATTGACTCGGTACCGGTACCCCCTGTATATAGCCTCGCTATTGTTATTTTTACTGCTGCGCTTTAATAATTTGTTACTTTTATTTCGTATTATTTTATATTGTCTTTTTGTGATTTTTTTGGTATTCTTTCTTAAAACTGCATTGTTGGTTAAGGGCTTGTAAGTAAGCATTTCACTGTAAGGTCTACACCTGTTGTATTCGGCGCATGTGACAAATACCATTTGATTTCATTTGATCCATGAGAGCTACTTCCAGCCCAGCACTAACACACCTGATTCAGTCAATCATGGTCCAGACTGAAGTTCTCAAGCCTCTAAACGCACACACACACACACGTCTCACCATGGTGGCCTCCTCTATCACAGAGTAGTCAGCCTGCTGTAGGTAGCGATGCAGGATGTTACACAGCAGACAGGAGGGGTTCTCGTGGAGGTAGCGTGCTCGCTTGGTCACCCTGTTGTACTTGCTCCGAAAGGGGATGTGGATACTCTTTTTCTGTAGAGAACAAAGGAAAGAAAAGGGAATGTGTCTCATATAGATTCAGAATCACCTTGATTTACCAAATACATTTACATGTACCCTGAATTGACCTGGTAAAATGGTGCTGACAGCAATAGATAAAATATACAGACAGAATATAGACAGAGGAATTTACACATAATCTACATACAGTATATACAATAGGTGAAAATATAGGACTAATTAATGGATAAAAGGCATTGGAGCCCTCAAGCTGTGCTGTACTGACCTCCAAGGCTTCAGTCATGATGCAGCCCATGACAGCACACACTCTCAAGGTGCCCTCCATGTCCAGCTTACGCAGAGAAGACTTGAGCTGGTCGATGGGGACCAACCAGGCTCCGATCGCCGGTGTCGCTGTGCTCAGGAGATTCAGCTGCCTGGAGATGGCCTGGGAGGGGGAGCGTACGTTGGTGGGGGCAGCGAAGCTGAACCAGATCTCCTTGATGGTGAGCTTCATGCTGCTGGAGTCAGGGGGCGGGGGCATGAGGGGGAGGTCCTTCTTCAGGTCGTCAGACTCCACCCCTTCATCCTGCAAGAGCAATCGACACCACACAGAGGCCAATGAGAGGGGAGCAAGAGAGAGAAGCAGGTCTATATTTTTGTCTGAACGCTCTTCGTTACTGAAACGAGGTTGGATCAAGTACGTGTACAACAGTTAAAAGTGATGAGTTACCTGATCGTCAGAGTCTGAGTTTCTGTTGGCATCAGAGTTGGGGCTTGTGGCGCCGTTAGGCAGGAGGTCATCAGATACATCAGTGCTGTAGCCGCTGCCCGTCTGAGAGCCTGATGAGCCGTTGGATTTGGACATGCAAGTGTTCACGCCAGTACCCGACTGCCCCATCATGCCAAACGCACTGTACAGCACTGCACCCGACTGACGCCCACCTGCAAATATCCACACACAATCAGGCAAAAGCGTTACAGGATTGGGGCTAATAACATCAATTCAACTTTAATTCAGTCAATTCTAAGTGAATCGAAATTCCAATGTGTATATACAGTGCATATGCATATCTTTGGTAATGACAAATTACCTTTGACGGTGAGGTTCTCGATGCCGCACTCAAACATGATCCAGCCCCACTTCTCCAGGGAGGCGGCAGAGCGGACCAGGTCTGCAGCCGCGTAGTTCTCGGTCTCGTCCACAAGGGCAAACTCATCAATTTCCTCCAGGCTGAACAGCACTTTGGACTTCTCAAAAGGGATGGCCGTGATGGCACATGTCCCTATGTCTGAACCACAGAACAGGAAAAAGGAGTAAATTACAAAGTTTTGCTTCACAACTGGCTAACACTTAATATTATATTAGGGCAGGAGTCTCCAACTCCAGTCATGGACAGCATGTAGAGCATTCAATAAAAAAGAGCATATTACCACCTTTGGAATCCAGGCCTCGTAGTTGACAGTGGATGCGGTGGATATTAAGCTTGGCAGCGATCTCCTTGCCCTTCTCAATACCGGCGTTGGAGCGCAGTGAGCCTGAAGACTGTGGCTGCATCTTGGTGGCCGAGGCGTACTTCTCCAAGTTTACGGAGGGACGGCTGTTCTCTGCAGTGTTGGGTGTCTCCTCCACTATGCCCCTGTGGAGACATACGGGAGGGTACGCACAGGGTGTAAACTGTGTGTGTATGTGTGTGTCTGTCTTAAGGAGACAGGTGCAGGCTGGTGGAAATGAGGTTACCTGTTCATGCGAAACTGTGTGGCGATCCTGTCGAAGCAGAGAGCAACCAGAGAGACGTGTGTGATGTGGCTCTTACTGGAGCTGAAGGGAGAACACTCTTCTATAGAGGCCTGGAGCAGACACAGGTTCACCTACCAGAGATACATATTTTTTTGGACATTAGAGATGCAACTCAGGAAAGGAGGTCAGCATTGATCTACAGTCGACTCCAAATAAGTTCACTTCAAATTAGTGCAAACTCTGTTTAAGTCCAATACAATTTTCCTGGCACAATTCCTACCTTAGGGATTGACACGTTAGCTTGCAGGCCCTTGATCTTCACGTTGTCTGGTTTGACCTTCAGGTCTGTTTGGCCATGGGGCATGTTGAGGGAGCCTGTGGTACCCTCCGTCTTGGACAGCTTGTGCTCCTGCTTGGCTGAGCTCTGTAATGGGGGAAGCATTTCAAAACAGGACAATCTTAGGGTAAATTGCACTCTATTCCCTTTATGGGTATTTCTATAAACTAGGGTACCAGTGAGGATTGTTACAGCTGTTGATAAGTTACTGATAATAATCTGCCAATTTTTTTCATGTTATTACATTAAGATATAAGGGGGATCATAGCTATATTCAAAAATGTTGAACCCTTTATCATGTTTGGTGTCTTGATGGATTTGTCCAAAATCATGTGACATAAAATATTACTTTTCTGTCCTTGCATTTATGGCAGCGTAAATTGTCATTATATAATATATTAAGCATTAATCAGTTAAATTATACATTTTACTTGAACCCTGTAAGAATCCTGGATCTAGCTGTCAGACAGTTTTTTGTATAGAGATCTCAGAAATGCAGTGTAACGACATAAAATTCCGTAACATTTCGTGTCTCCTTATGTTACGGCGTGAAAACCCAAAACCAAAATAATAAATGCGATTGCAAAATCGAATGCTTTTAACCAAAAGAGTCAACTTACCTTGATACTTAAAACCTAAATCGATACTGTCATTAACGTGGTTCTTCAATAATTATGCATAATACTTGTTGGATGCCTATTTGGTGTCCAGTTGATTAGTCACGGCGTGATATATTCGTCGCGTGCCGTGAACGTTGCAAAATAAATTTACACATACATGCTATTCAATCATTGCACCCACACTGCTCACGCGCGTCTGCGTGGCCAGGCGCTAAAATATAACTCGGTTCTATTTGTAACGCGCTGCAAGTCCTGCCTCTCCCATCTCCTCATTGGTTTTTAGGAGCATCTACCCACGTGGGTGATTGAAAGATGAACTGAGGTCTACGCTCCAGTTCAGTTGGTTGTGGTAATGCACCAAAAGTTGGTTGCCAACCGCCATATAAAGTCCAAAGAAGAAGCAGCCTGAAGGAGGAGAGATTACTAGAAAACAAACTTTTACCGTTTTATCTGTGGATTAATTGTCAGAGTAGAGGACCTTGTGCATTTCAGGTAAAATAACAACCAAATGTTTATATCCCAGGACAAATTAGCTAGCAACAGCAAGCTAGCTAGCTAAATTGCCATAAATGTTTCATGTGTTTCGACCTGTCCTGAAATTAATATAATTGGTTTACTCCTGAGTGGCGCAGTGGTCTAAGGCACTGCATCGCAGTGCTAACTGTGCCACTAGAGATCCTGGTTCGAATCCAGGCTCTGTCGCAGCCGGCCGCGACCAGGAGACTCATGGGCGGCGCACAATTGGCCCAGCGTCGTCCAGGGTAGGGGAGGGAATGGCCGGCAGGGATGTAGCTCAGTTGATAGAGCATGGCGTTTGCAACGCCAGGGTTGCGGGTTCGATTCCCACGGGGGGCCAGTATAAAAAAAAAAAAAAAAAAAAGATGTATTCACTAACTGTAAGTCGCTCTGGATAAGAGCGTCTGCTAAATGACTAAAATGTAAATGTAATGTAAATGTTCAGAGTTTGTTTTGATATTTAAACCTGCGTGTCCTGATCGCGTCTGGTGTGGGGGGACAAAAATCAACTTGCGCGCGTGCTGTCATGTAAGACCCGGGTTCGATCTAGGGCTGTATCACAACAGGCCGTGATCAGGAGTCCCATAGGGTGGTGCACAATTGGCCCAGCGTAGTCCAGATTAGTGGAGGGTTTAGCCGGGGGGGCTTTACTTGGCTCATCTAGCGACTCCTTGTGAGGGGCCGGGCACCTGCAGGCTGACCTCGGTCATCAAGTGAACATTGTCCTCCGACCCAATGGTGCGGCTGGCTTCCGGGTTAAGCGGGTGGGTGTTAAGAAGCGCGGTTTGACTCGACCTTCACCTCCCGAGCCCATTGGGGAGTTGCATGAGACAAGATCGAAATTGGGGAGAAAAAGGGGGTAAAATATATCCTCCAAAAAGAAGAAAAAAAATTACATTGCGCCTGGATCCACATTGGATCTAATATCCCTACCAAATTGATATTCATCATCTGTTGTTGTCTGTTTGATTTACAGCAGGGTCTGTAAAGAGAAAGCATCAAGGTAATGTTTTCATGCCTCGGATTGATCACTGAGTCTACTGTGTGCAATTGTGTAGGATAGACTATTGCACAACACCCAATGCTATTCCTATGAATTATGCTGCATATAATGACAACAAATTACATAGCCTAGTGGGCTTATTCACAATATGATCTGGTAATGAAATAACATGACAAATACATTTTGTTTTCCATGTTACACCTGAAATTTTAAACAATACAAGGGGCTTGAAGTAGCCTACTTGAATTTGAATTTGGAGCTCAGAAATTAAAGTACTGGTATAGGCCTACTTAGAAAATCAGTCATTTTCTCACTTGGTGCTTGAAAAGTTCTTGTAATTATTGTAGCCAATTTGTAAGTTCTCCTGCTTCCTTACAATTAACTGTGATTTCATTATTGATCAGTGTTGCTCTACTCCACACGTGTCAAACTCATTCCACGGAGGGCCGAGTGTCTGCGGGGTTTCGCTCCTCCCTTGTATTTGATTGATTAATTAAGGTCAGTAATTAGTAAAGAACTCCCCTCACCTGATTGTCTAGGTCTTAATTGAAAGGAAAAACCAAAAACCTGCAGACACTAGGCCCTCCATGGAATGAGTTTGACACCCCTGCTCTACTCTGTTGCGGTAAAACCATGTGTTGCGCTAAAACCATGTGCGGTTATTATGAGGACGACAACATCTAATGCTGGCTTCAACTTGGCTTTCCATACAAATCCTTCCATTAAAGGATGAACTTGGCTTTTGGTCACTTTCTCATTATAAAAACAGCAATGGTGATATTCAAATGGTGAGATTAATGCTACCGCTATTCATGGCTTTATTATGTGTGCCTGCGCCAGCCATGCATGCATCCAATCTATTTAGTCAGGCAATGTCCACATTATTCTCACATATTTTACGATGTAATAATGATTAGAATATCAATGCATTGGCAAGGCCTAACAAATGCATTATTCTTAGTGGTAATGGCCTACTTTTTTGGACACTTTTCGCATGTTTTTCTGGGGGGTGGGTTTCTATATTAGGCCCTATTTGTACAATTAGACCACTGAGTGTACCAAACATTAAGGACACCTTCCTAATATTGAGTTGCAACCCCCCGGAAAAGATGAGACTCTCACGAACACAATGATATTCTCTATGATGCCCCCCTTTGCCCTCAGAACAGCCTCAATTCGTCGGGGCATGGACTCTACAAATTGTCGAAAGCATTCCACAGGGATGCTGGAAGATGTGGACTCCAATGCTTCCCACAGTTGTGTCAAGTTGTCTGGATGTCCTTTGGGTGGTGGACCATTCTTGATACACACGGGAAACTGTTGAGCGTGAAAAACCCAGCAGCGTTGCAGTTCTTGACACAAATCAGTGCACCTGGCCATGGCCGCGGGATGTAGTTTGGGGGTGGGGGTGCTGTAAAAAAAGTTGACACCTTAACACGCGGTCGTAAATTAGGCAGGAGGGGAATCTCTCCCTTGCTCTTCAGTATTGGAATTGGAATGTGCTTTGTCTACAGAATACTTTTGCCGACAAAACTATAACGTCCAAAAAGTAAACACTGGAACAATATTTCTAACATCCGAATGTTTGGAATGGTCAGTGGGGATCTAAAGACTAATCATGTCATATTGTTTATTATTTTGTGATGTCATTACAAATGTTATAACAAAAATACTGTAATTTGGAAAGTATACACACTTTATCTGTCAAGTTTACATCCAATATGTTGTGTACAGTGGGGGAAAAAAGTATTTAGTCAGCCACCAATTGTGCAAGTTCTCCCACTTAAAAAGATGAGAGAGGCCTGTAATTTTCATCATAGGCACACGTCAACTATGACAGACAAAATGAGAAAAAAAATCCAGAAAATCACATTGTAGGATTTTTAATGAATTTATTTGCAAATTATGGTGGAAAATAAGTATTTGGTCAATAACAAAAGTTTCTCAATACTTTGTTATATACCCTTTGTTGGCAATGACACAGGTCAAACGTTTTCTGTAAGTCTTCACAAGGTTTTCACACACTGTTGCTGGTATTTTGGCCCATTCCTCCATACAGATCTCCTCTAGAGCAGTGATGTTTTGGGGCTGTCGCTGGGCAACACGGACTTTCAACTCCCTCCAAAGATTTTCTATGGGGTTGAGATCTGGAGACTGGCTAGGCCACTCCAGGACCTTGAAATGCTTCCTTCGTTGCCCGGGCGGTGTGTTTGGGATCATTGTCATGCTGAAAGACCCAGCCACGTTTCATCTTCAATGACCTTGCTGATGGAAGGAGGTTTTCACTCAAAATCTCACGATACATGGCCCCATTCATTCTTTCCTTTACACGGATCAGTCGTCCTGGTCCCTTTGCAGAAAAACAGACCCAAAGCATGAAGTTTCCACCCCCATGCTTCACAGTAGGTATGGTGTTCTTTGGATGCAACTCAGCATTCTTTGTCCTCCAAACACGACCAGTTGAGTTTTTACCAAAAAGTTATATTTTGGTTTCATCTGACCATATGACATTCTCCCAATCCTCTTCTGGATCATCCAAATGCACTCTAGCAAACTTCAGACGGGCCTGGACATGTACTGGCTTAAGCAAGGGGACATGTCTGCACTGCAGGATTTGAGTCCCTGGCGGCGTAGTGTGTTACTGATGGTAGGCTTTGTTACTTTGGTCCCAGCTCTCTGCAGGTCATTCACTAGGTCCCCCCGTGTGGTTCTGGGATTTTTGCTCACCGTTCTTGTGATCATTTTGACCCCACGGGGTGAGATCTTGCGTGGAGCCCCAGATCGAGGGAGATTATCAGTGGTCTTGTATGTCTTCCATTTCCTAATAATTGCTCCCACAGTTGATTTCTTCAAACCAAGCTACTTACCTATTGCAGATTCAGTCTTCCCAGCCTGGTGCAGGTCTACAATTTTGTTTCTGGTGTCCTTTGACAGCTCTTTGGTCTTGG